ATTTATTATATAGTCTCAATTAGAATTCAGAATTATCTCACTGAAACCGACGATGTTCTCGATCGTAGTTATTTTCACTTTGCCAGCAGACGTTCTAGCGGGGTTTTGGCAAAAAGCTAGCCCGCCACCTTCCCACCTCGAACCTTTCAAGTTCCGCTAAAATTGTGCGCTGCGGAGCTCCGAGGGTGCGTTGGTATCGCTGGCAAACTCTCGGGCGGCTAGCTCCCCACGACGGACCATTCGCGGTATGGCGAGAGTGTGTGTGTGAGATACGATTTTGGATTCGAAAACGCACGTACCACAACCGTGCGCGTCATTTTCAGCTGTCGAATGTCTACGACCAATTTTACATGTACGATTTTTAGTACAGATACTTGGTCAGTTTTCTTCTTTTATCTTTGGTTTTACAACATTTAAAAATATAATTTCTTTAAATTTGCTTCTGACTCGGTTCAGACTAATTGTCTGATGTGTTTTCAAGTCAATTTCTTGAATATATTTTTTTGCATGAATTTGCCTACCTTTATCTGTTGTGATCCTGAAGGCAATGGCAATATTGCGGAGACAACGTGCACGTTGTCTCCGCAATATTGCCATTGCCTATTACGTGTATTCACTTTCGGGTATTATTGTGCGTAATGGCTATCCATACTAGTCAATGGCAAATAGCGCGGGGACAACGTGGCTCAAGCTGCCAGTTGCGCATAACATGCGTACGCTATGCATATGCTTGCATATCGCGTGATACAGCTGTTTGGCTAAATTTAGCTAAACAACATAATTCTGCGTGTACGTCTCTTTCGTCGATTCTGATCAAAATGCTATGAATATTGCAGCGTTTCGAAGGGGCTGAATCTTTTGATAGAAACATTGGTGAGACTTGAAATTTGAAATGTATTATTCTGATAACATTTTTAATTCAAATATCAAACAAAAATGGTGAAAAACGATCCCAAATTGAAAATTGAAAAATTGTTCAGACACCCTAGTTTTAGACTTCTGAATCTGAGTTCTGTTCTAAAGACTAAACGTAAATATAAAAAATACTTGACGGACCTATATTGATATTAGCTACAGATTTGTACCGTTGTTAAATTCATTATATTTTAGTTTTACTTGTAGTCTAGAGTAAAGGAGGGGGTAATCGACCATCTCCAGTTTTCGGCCGATTGGTTGGATGCATGGTAAAATCCCTTTAAAATACATCGCATAATATCATATCACATATCCCACACATACCATACCATACCAGAGTCACTGAAGAACCACATTTGCAATGGAAAATATATCCTAAAATATCACATTTTAGCGATGTAATCGGCGATCGCGCTACCCGAATCTGAAAAATCGAGTATCTTACACGTGTCTTTAAGAAATATGGGTACCATAAAATGAGCTTTATTTCAAGTATTTTTCAGATTTAGAGCTCAAAAGTATCTCATCGCATGTATTAAATCAATGCAGCCGGACACCGCAACGCACACACAATATATCTGTCTAATTCAGATTCCAATTTCCGATCAACGCAGTGCTAGTTTTCGACATGGTGAGCACCGGGGAGCTCCGGCGTGGGATACCTGCTCCACCCGCTAGTGCTATAGATCTGCACGGAAATGCGCGGCGCATGCCGCTTCCTATTGACTTTGAACATGCAGTCGAAAACTGGCTCGCTATGTCGATAACTGCCTCCGAAACAGGGAAATTGAAATGAATGTTTTCATGGCAATTCGTGATTTTTTTTCTGGGATTCTTTTTTTGTTTAAATAATATTTGCTTCATGATTTAAACAAGAAATGATAATAAATAGGAAGTAAAGAGTTCCAAAAATAGGATTTTGTATTAAGTGGTTGAAACCCCCCTCCTTGACTAATTGTTATTTGTTTTACTTGTTATTATAGCCTAATTTTTTATATTTGATTATAATTGGTCAGCCGCATATAAGGACCACCTCCTTTCTGGCTGCCACCAGCATTAGCAATTTCCTTTGTATTATTCATGTTTGTAAATTGATTCTGTGTATTTCTGTGTTTATCTATGTTAGTAGTTGTAATTGTGTGAAACTTTGTATACTGCTTCTTCTGTTTTACTTTTACCCTGTATGTTTTGTATTGCTTGGCAAAATAAATTGAATTGAATTGAATTGAATTATTGATTCTCAACACCACTGTACAAAATCAGAGTGCACTAAAATCAGCACTTGGGTGACAACCCTACTACTGAGTGCTTTACAATCAATTCATTGCCAATTTGATGTTTGGTTTTTATCAAATACTAAAGATTAATCCTATCAAGTTCAAACCTATCACTCCTATTCTTAATCTATGGAGAACACATTTTTCAAATCTGTTCAACTTACATATGGTTGATTTACTGTAGGCAGTATCTGTCTAAGAAAACTATAAGAATTATTCCATCTGTCTTGCCAGAGTTTTATATATTTGCTGGTAATAATACTCTTTATTTCAGAAAAGGATAATTTGTTACAAATTTCAACGTTATTTTGTAAAGTAGATTTTGCATAAAAATCTGCCATTTCATTTCCATGTACACCACAATGACTAGGAATCCATTCTAAATATAAGTGTTTTCCTTGATACAATAGTTTTGTACTTTAATTAATAATTTCAGTTACAAATGTAATATCTTTTTCATCTTTTATGGCGAGCAGGGCGCTTACGGAGTCACAAAAAATAACAATGCCAACATACACATTAATGTTCTCTAGCCAATTGAGTGCAAGGACGATTGCAGCCAGTTCGGCTCTGAAAGATGATGTGTGATCCGCCAATCGTTTGGCTTGTTGAAAGGAAAAGGATGGTACATAAAAAGAAGCAGAACTTATTCCAAGATTTGGAACCTTTGACCCATCTGTATAGATGTGTAGTTGTATTGGCCATTTGGTGCCGATCAATTCTAAACTGCGTTGATGTATATAAGATGGGTTTTCATGTTTGTTCACTATTTTGCTTAATTCTATAACTTTGTATAGTGTAAGGTTCGATAGCACAATGATTCATTAGTTCTGTTCTGCATCCAAATGGCTTTTCATTCTTTTAAAGCTTCAAAAGTTCCATTTGCCAGCTGGGCTTAACGTTTAATGTGACAGGGTGACAGGGGAGGTTATCTGAGTTAACATCGCGGGAGGGATGTGATTCAGGGAGGTTGGCTTGTGGTTTCTGCTGTGGTTTTTCTTGCTCCAACTGTGTTTTTGCAACTTGTTCACATATGAAAGATTGTTTTGACTTTTACTATTTGTATCTTTTTGGCTTTCTTAGCTTCAAGACAGCCGTCAAAGGCTGCCGAATGGTTCCCTCCACAATTTATACATATCGGTCTATCTTTTCGGTTACATTCCTCAAATTTATGGTCTTCTCCGCATCTGACGCATCTCATTTTTGCTCTGCATTGAGCTATCCCGTGGCCGTAGTGTTGGCATTGAAAGCATCTCAAAACGGGGGGAATGTATTGTTTAACCTCAAACATTTGATAACACATAGTTATGTTCCTGGGGAGGTTTGTACGGTTGAATGCGATGATAACACTTCTCATTGGAATAAATTAGGTCTGTTTTCTTCACTTTCAATTGATTTTACATTCAATTTCAACCTTTTCATGATTCTTTTTACATCAATTACTCCTTGGTGTTTCAATTCATTGAGAATTTCGTTATTTGTCATTTCTGTAGGTACTCCATATATGACCAGGGTTCTCACAACCTGCTACTTTTCTGCAACTTTTACTGGGGTGGTTCCTATGTTACTAATTTGAGATAGTGCTTTTACTTGTTTGTGGTTCTTACATTTGATAAAGAGACCTTGGCTGTGGGTTTGATAAATTCCACAGGGTTCAGACATGCTTCACAGATATTTCTAGCTATAGTAATGGGATTCACATTCTTTAGCGATTTTGATTTATCAATGGGGGTAATTAATATTTTGAGTTCCGATTGGCGGTTCTGGGTTGTATTTTGGTCTTCTGAGGAAGAAGATTCTGTTCTCATTGAAAGATTTTCAATTGCAATGCTTCCTTCGTGCCTGCGTATTTTTCTCGGGTTTCTGCTCCCTACAGGAGTGTTTTACTGTTCGGAATTCATCTTCGTCATTGGATTGTAAAAGAGGTGGCTCTTTCTTCGCCCTGGCCGGTGAGTGTTACCCAGGCCATGCCCTGGTTGGTTGCCTGAAAAGGGCGAGAAATTCAATTGTGTGCAGTCTACGGTGTAATTAAGTGTGCGGTATGTGTTAGTAAAGCCCACAAGACTTGCTTACCTTTTGACTCTGATCCTAAGTATAGGCCTGTATGAATCCACTATAATTCAATCCTAAATTCATCAGTATAAAGAAGCAAAACAGTCCCAAAATATCCGGGTTCTGCTCACGAAACCATCATAAGTAAAAGTTGAGCGACTTCCCATTGAAACACGTGTTAAACTTAATACACGCATTTCAATGGGACGTCGCTCAACTTTTACTTAAGACGGTTTCGTGAGACGCAGCCTCGGTATTGAGACAATTTTAAACAATATTGGCAAAAATCTAGAAGAAATCTACAAGCTCCTAGTGAGCTTCTGAAAAGCATGTCCGCTCGGACACGCTACAATTTTGGTCCAGTTGGCATGCGCTCTAGCCTTTACGATCGACCAATCTTGACCTCATTTTCAAACACTGGCGCTTTTTGGATACAAGGGCCCTTCTGATTGGCTATTGCTGGCTGCCATTCGCTTGACGTTATAAGATATTAGTGTGAGGAGAAAGCTTGCGAATATTGCTAGAAGCGCCATCTAACCTAGATGACCAGCTAACTTAGCTGTAAATGCGTGAAATGCATGTACATTACAATGCAATTTTACGAGAGATCAAAGAGAGATCATCTGTTGACCATGATGTTTCCCTTCGTGATACCACTTATCTTCAATTTGTTCATCTAAATTCAATTTTCAGGAATGTGTTTAATTAAAAAAAATTGCAATTGTGAAATCATGTCCGTCCTTTTTATTTACACAGGCAACTGGTCTTAGCCAATCCCTTCAGTCTGCATCCCATTACCATGGCAACCAAGGAGGATGATTTAGAGGTGCCTCCTGATTGGAAGGATTCATTCACCAAGGAGGATAACCCCCACGGCTTGGCAGGAGAGAGCTCCTTCGCCACTCTCTTTCCAAAGTATCGCGAGAAGTACCTCAAGGAATGCTGGCCGTTGGTCCAGAAGACTCTAAACGAACATGTGAGTTCACCAACAAATTTCTTGCATTCTTCTTTTTGACTTTTTTACCAGTCTACCAATTATCGTCAGGGTCTTGTGTGATGAGCTTGCACGTCCCTGGCCTCCCTCCCCGAACCCCCCCCCCCCCCCCCAAAAAAAAAGGAATTTGTGCTGTTGCATGTACATATTTTGTTTTCATGCAAGTACAGTCAAAACCTGTCCACTAGGTAAACACAAAAAGTGGTCTTTGTAGACAGGTGGTCTTTGTAAACAGGTTCCTTTAGTACATGTTTCAATGAGAAACCATTTTCAAGGAAAACAAAAAATGTGGTCCTTGTAGACAGGTGGTCACTAAAGCAGGTTTGACTGTACATGTTATTCTTAATTAGTATTATGATCATTTGTTAAGCTATCCAAACAATTATATATATATGATGCAATTGGAATCACATCTTTCTAATTTGGAGGTATAGGCGTGGTGCTGGAAGCGGGGCTGGCGGATGTGATGCCAACAGAAGTGTCACTGCCTGTACAAATTTGATTGGAGAGTTCATATTTTCATGCAATTTTAGAAGAAAAATCAAATAATTTTTGTTGAAGCCTTGTTATATCTGGCAATGCCACTCATCATCCCAACTCTTTATGCAGGACATTTGACTGTATTTGATTTTTAGAAAGACTGATTCGATTTGTTATGTTGATCATTTCACGATGGATGATCTTGGGTTTCAACTTGGATGTCTACATGAATGATTGATGTGATACGAAGGAGAGGTACTATGCAGAGACAATGAAGTTACGTTACTCTGTTTATTTTGATGTTTGCGATTTTTTATTTTCTCCATAATTAAATCATACAATGTAATGAGAACACTCCCATTTGAATAATATGGGACAATTCACACTATCTAATCTCACTCTTTTGTAGGGCATCAAAGCCAACCTTGACCTCATAGAGGGCAGTATGACGGTCAAAACAACGAGACAGACGTGGGATCCGTTCATCATCATCAAAGCCAGGGACATGATTAAGCTTCTAGCCAGGAGTGTACCTTTTGAACAGGTAAGGAGAACTCATTTCACCTCTTGCAATTCTCGCTACCTCAACTACGGTATTTTGCCATAGAGGGCAGCACTGCCCATGGATGTTTTTGGCTAAGGCACTTCTGGGCCCCGTCTTACAAAGAGTTGATATCAATCGCAACTATGTACATAGGAGATAGGAGACTGCAAAATTTGTGATTAATTTGGATCAATCGCAACTCTTTGTAAGATGGGGCCCTAGTTCCCATACAATTACGACGGATCTAGAACTGATAGAAATGATAGTTTAGATACTAATAAGCTAACAGATTATGATGGTGCCTACATTGATCTCATCATATAATCAGGGGAGTTCATGGAACCTGAACAATAGTCAAGTAAAAAAAAAAGGTCTTAATTGACACTGCTGTACATTCTCTGTGGAAATTGGAAGGAACCTTATCTTATCATCTTGATGTTTCTTCATTCTCATTAATCCTTTCCTATCCCATACAATTTGGGTCCAGATTTTGAGATTGGTTTATACACTGTAGATGTAAACAAATTCGTTTTTTTTAAAGTGAATGGTACCTATTATTAAAATTTTCCATTCTTGTTTTCTCTCAGGCAATGCGAATATTAGAGGACGACGTCTCTGCAGAAGTGATTAAGATCGGTCGTATGGTGAGGAACAGAGAGAGATTCGTCAAAAGAAGACAGAGACTTATTGGACCCAATGGCTCTACACTTAAGGTGTGTTGGTTTTCATTTACTCATTTATTCAGTTATTCATTGATTCATCCATTCCTTTATTCCTTTATTTTATTTCACAATCAAAAAATGACCATGCATGCAGAAATAACCAATGTAAAGAACCACATAGACCTTTAGAGCATAAATGACAAAAGCAAGATGTCTAACGCTGTGATGACGTGGATAAGAGGGAGTGCTTAAGGTCGTTCTGCAGTAATGTCCGTGCGCACCGTGCACCTTTGCTGTGCAGAGCTAGCCGGTTATGTATTCACCATGCACACTGCTGGAGTTCCTGGTATTGTTCATAGCAAATACATGATCAGCTGGCCATGTGCAGTTAGGTGCACTCAAACATTACTATGGAACATCCTTAGATTTACTGTTAAAATACTACTCCTACTGTTGTGAATTAAACAAAGGACATTTATTTACTTATGTAGTGGAGGGGTCAACATAGGCCCTTGGATTTTCTTCAGCTGTTAACTCCAAACAAAAATTAGAACACAAAAGTCATGTACATGTAAACAATCAGCAACAACAAATTATGATTTTTAAAGAAAATGTTGATGTTGTTGTTAGTTTTGCTGTTTTTGCTGTTATTATCGCCATCATCATCATCATCATCATCATCATCATCATCATCATCATCATCATCATCATCATCATCATCATCATCATCATTACTTAGTGGTATTAGTATTAGAAGTAGTACAGTGTAGTAGTTGTATTAAAGCCCCATTGCACTACTTATAGCTACTTGCTCCCTCTATTTAGAAACAATGCCTAAGCGCTGCCCGTTGGTCCCCCATGACTATTTTTCTTATGTTAATTGAGAGGAGAGTTGATGAGATAACCACCTGTCAGTGACCATGCCGGGTGGTCTAATCCCTCCTGGCCAAACTAGTGCAGACAGGCTTTAAACAAATTTTACTTCTCCTTTTTATTGCAGGCGATCGAGTTGCTCACCAACTGTTACATCATGGTGCAGGGGAACACTGTATCGGCAGTCGGACCTCACAAAGGTTTACGGGACGTCAACAAGATAGTCACAGACACACTCAACAATGTCCATCCTATATATAATATAAAGGCAAGATAAAGATGACTTCTAGTAGAGGTTTTGTGTTGAGGGCAGTGTTTCACGAAACTGTCAAAAGCACAAGTTCGCCGACATCCTATGAAGACGTGTGTATTCAAATTAAAACATGATTCTATCGGATGTCAGCTAACTTGTACTTGTGACGGTTACGTGAAGTGCTGCCCTGGTAGATAAGTTTCCGGATTGAAGATCACAAGATACAGGGTTTGAATCCGAGCTCAGCACTAATGTCCTTTGGCAAGGCATTAAGCTGCATTTGCCTCTCCTCACCCAGGTGTACATGGAGTCCTGATATACGTGATTGCTGGTTACAGCTAGTTGGCAGCTTGGCTATAACCGAGGTATTAAGGCCAAAGCGCTATATGAGAAGTACTTATTTTTCTTCAATCGCGCTTGTGTCCATCACACTGTGATGTTTATGGCACTGCAACATTATTATGCGAGAGTCCTTGTACTTCGTTCAGCATTGTGAGCGCCTCTGAAAATGTGCCTGGCTGGAATGCTACCCAGGGAGTGAGAATGTGCATACATTATGTAGGCAAGCCTGAATCATATGACCAGGATTATAGTATACGTATCTGTGAACCACTTTGAGATATTACAAACGTATTGCATGCTATTTAAATCCAGAAAAGTGTAATGATTGTTTTTATGGATTATAACCAAACTGCGAAAGTAACTAGTGCTCAAGCATGCCAGGTGGAGAGTGGCCCATTTGGGTAAAATCAAGTACGAAAACAAAGTGGACTAAGCTTTGTCTAGCACTTATAGGGTTAAGACCTCCCTTATCCCCATTATTAGTACTGGACTACCGTATTTGCCGGCGATAAGGCCGCACCTAGACTTTTTGATTTTTATTCTTCCAAAAATACTGCGGCCTTTACGCCGGCAAATACGGTAAGCAACATATTGCGAGGAAAGGGTATATCATAGAAGTAATTGGATATTATTTGATTATACTGTATCCCAATTTTCCTCTTTTTTTTTAAAGGTTCTGATGATAAAACGAGAGCTGATGAAAGACGATAAACTGAAGAGTGAATCGTGGGATAGGTTCCTCCCCAAGTTCAGGACCAAGAACCTGAAGAAGAGGAAACGCCCGCAGAAAATAGGAAAGAAGAAGGAGTATACACCATTCCCTCCACAGCAACCAGAAACTAAGGTAATGGAAAGAGAGAAGATAGGTGGATGTATATAAAGAGAGAAGAGAGAGAGAGAGAGAGAGGGAGAGAGGGGGGGGGGGATAGAGTAAGAGAGGGGGAGATAGGCAGGGATGGAAATGGGGTAAAAGGAGAGAAAAGGATAAAAACAAAGATAGAAAGAAGGAAACAGAGTAGAGGAGGAGAAGAGAGACAGAGACAAAGAAAGATTTTACTCCATTCCCTCCACAACAACCAGAAACTATTTTGGGGTTTATAGTTCAAATTGTAATCATATGTATCTGGTGTTGTCGTCAATATGTACAATAAATTGACTTATCAACTCAAACTTTTATTTCTTCTTCCAAACCTCTTTCAGATTGACAAGGAGCTTGCTACAGGGGAATATTTCCTAAGAGAGAATCAAAAGAAGGCCAAAGTGAGGCAAGAGAAAAGGGTAAGTTCAACTCCACGATAAGAACCATCAAGGTATCTACATGAACTTCTGCTTTTTATTGCAATCAAACTCCAATGAGAGTTTGATGTGATTGCAGTCACAAACAGAACCAGAAGCACCATTTTCTAGGGTTATCTTCCAGATATGTTTATTCTAAGCGACAGTTTATTTTTCCTAGCTTCAAAGCTATGCCAAATATCTAACTTACTGGTGATGTAATGCAGTATTTTTTCTTCTGAAGTCTCATATATATATATAACCAAATTTAGTTCTGAACATAAATTGACGTCATATGTGTCATTTCACTTCATATTGGGTCTTATCTAAGCACTTTAATAGAAGTACTATTAAAACTTGAACAGTGATCACCTCAGCTTTAAAGGCACACTGTCCTACTTGTAGCTACTTGCTCCCTCTATATAGAAAACTTCCCAAATCGGTGCATGTTGGTCCCCCATGATCCTCTTTTTCTTATGTTAAATGAGAGCTGAGTTAATGAGATAGCCACCTGTCACAGTGACCTCGATGGCTCTCTGTGTGGTCTAATCCCTTCTGGCCCAGTAGTGGTGACGGTCTTTAATAGAAGTACTATTAAAACTTGAACAGTGATCACCTCAGCTTTAAAGGTGAATTTGACCCGTGCAGTTTTAATTTGCTTTTGTGCAATATTGAAAGGAACAATATTTGTCATTCTTTTATATTTGTATTCTAAGTTTATCCAGCTTTCCAGTGATATAAAGTTGTACTTTCATTGGATAGGGTCTGTAAGATCTTGTGGACATGCCCACGCAATGTGCCCTTCATATTCACATAGCCTGTCAACTAATAGTATGTACATGTAGTTGTATCATCAATTTGGATGCTGCTTGTAAGTGTCTCCTGACGACGGATAGTAAACCTGTTCGAAACGTGGAGCCACTCATCCTCTCCAAGCGCTATATTTCTGCTTAGAACTATAAGCCAAGAAAGATAACAAACAGTCCTTTTCAGGACTACACACACCCCCAAGAAAGATTACAGAGTCAGAGTCCTTTTCAGGACTCCTCAACCCTCTCTTCTCTCACACATGGTGCACCCGCAAGCCTACTGTATACCATCAATTTGTTTGGATTTACACTGCATGTAATCCTAGTTAGGGGGGGGGGGGGTTCTATATTTTACATGGACATTAAAACTTGAATCCTGAATATGATTTCTTTTTTGTTGTTTTGTCACAGATAAAGCAAGCTGAGGCGGAAGTGAAGAGAAAAGACAAACGTGAGAAGCCTTTCATACCTCCTAAGGAGCCTACAATATCGGAGACCAAACCAGCACCCAAACCAGACAGCAAGATTGATGTGAATGCATTCAAAGCAAAGATCAAGCAATCACAGGTAATACTCGTAGCATTAGATTGTTATGCTGTCAGATGACAACCAGAAAGCATTCATAGTATGAATGTATTCAAATCAAACATCAATCGGTCTCATGTAGTCCACTTTAAATAGCATTTGAATACACTTTCTGAGAACCAGAGAGCAATGATTGCGTGAATGCATTCAAAGCAAAGATCAAGCAATCACAGGTAATACTTGTAGCATTAGATTGTTATGCTGTCAGATGACAACCAGAAAGCATTCATAGTATGAATGCATTCAAATAAAACATCAGCCAGTCTCATGTCATTCGCTTAGCATTTGAATATACTTTCTGAGAAGCAGAGAGCATTCATAGTATGAATGTATTCAAAACAAACATCAATCGGTCTCATGTAGTCTGCTTATTGTTTGATTATACTATCTGATGAGAACCAGAATGCATTAGAGTATGAATGTATTCTCATCAAACATCAATCGGTCTCATGTAGTCCACTTTAAATAGCATTTGAATACATTTTCTGAGAACCAGAGAGCAATGATTGGATGAATGCGTTTAAAGCGATGATCAAGCACTCACAGGTTATTCTCAAAGCATTGGATCATATACGACCAGACACCAATAAACCACCAAATAGTTGCTTGCTGTGGTTTTCAGTTCGATCTCAATAAAGGCATATTTGGTCAGGATGGATAAATATTTAAACATTTTGAAACACAAAGTGGCAACACACCGACGTATCTTGCGAGATCCTCTCCAATTTGTGCTGTACAGAAATTTCATAACTTTCATTTTCTTAATTATTGATGACGAAATAGATGTATTTCATGCAGGGGTTGTATAATAATATATTTTGCAATAATTATATTTAGGGTGCATGTATGATTTAAAATTGTCATTAGGGAAAAAAACAATTATTTTTAGAATTATTTTTAGTACAGAGCAAATTTGTGTTAGATTGATCGCACTTTCAAAAATTCATAACTTTCTTATTTATAGTCTGTTTTTGCTCAAACTTTCACTGACCCATTTCTCTCATTTCCACTTCTATTAAAACCAACTTAAATTTGTAATACATTGAATTTTCATTCACATGTCTGCATGGAATGAGAATTTTGTTTGAATGTACACATGTACGTAATTAACACATGAGTGCACTTTCTATGCTTTTTCCAACAGTCCAAGAAGTTCCGTCAATCAGTAACCAAGTCAACGTTAACAACTCCAGGGAGTACAAAGAAGAAGAAAAAGTGATCGTTGAAAGATTGACCCAGAAAACTGTAATATAATGTGGAATATAAGACTTTATTGTTGTTTTTAGAAGAATTTTGAGAAGGAACAGTTATCATCATTTCTCATTCAGTCATTCAGGTATTGGCTTTGCTGATCAATAGAAAGAATGAGAGAAGATGAAACCATGAGATGAAGGAGAATGAAATGGAGACATGCCTAGATACAGAAGTCTTTTTCAGGGATTACAAGATTCTGAGCAGAATTTTGGGAAGGAAAAGTCATCAGCTCGTCCACCATGAGATTAGCCCAATGCACTGAGCCCATGCATTTCTATTTCGATTTGAAACCTGGAGAAATGACCCACATCATTCTGGGAATACATGAATTGAATTGGATCCAAAGTGACATTGATATAGCTACGCTACAAAACGGATCAACAACGCAAAGGCCATTGAATGTTTGGGACATCTTTGAATTTCAAATTTGCTGCTGCGTATCCATTCTTTTCTCCACATCATACAGGCATCAAGATGGTACGGAAGTGACATTGAAATTAAATTGCATACTTCAAGCCTGTCTGCACTAGTTTGGCCAGGGGGATTAGACCTCCCTGCAAGGTCACTGACAGGTGGTAATCTCATCAAATCAGCTCTCAATTAACATATGAAAAAGGGTCACCGATTAGGTATTGTTTGCTAAGAGGGTGCAAGTAGCTATAAGTAGTTCAGTGGGGCTTTAAAACCAAGAAATCAACAATGCATTATAGGGTAGAAATGCATGGAAACGCATGCATTTCACAGATCTAGAAAGGAACTGACATTGAAATGAAAAAGTTTTGATGTGACCTAGGCATCAGCTGAGTTCTTGGCCCCATTTCACACAACTTGTCATCAGTGACAAATGACAGTTTTTGTCATAAGCTAGTGATATCCTTGCTTCTGATTGGTTATCAGCAGATTTGTTACTGGTTTATGTCATTTGTCATTGAAAAAAGGCTTTGTGAAACAGGTCCCTGGTGATATTAGATAGCATAGTCCAAGAGACTGTCTGGAAGCAAATGGAACAGATCAAGTATGTAGAGTAGCACATAATTGTTGGTGTATATTGTGAGGTTTGGGAATCAACAAAATAACATGAAAATGGCTCAGTCCTGCTGGAAGTCACATGCATGGTTCGCAGAAATGGGTCTGTGGGACTACACAGACTTGTAATGTGAATATTTGGTCCAAACATTCAGCTATCTCTCGTCATGTTTCGAATATGAGAGCATTTGATCAACCAGGTTTTTTCAGGGGACATTTTGTCTTTTGATATTCTTTGTAACTAATATGATAAAGAATGAAATAGATCACAAATAGTTTTTTTGTTTAATACCTTTTCCAGAACTCAACCCCTTAAATCAAAATACATGTATGTATAAATATTGGAAGAAAGAAGAAATAAAGCCATAAGAAGAAAGAGAATATTGATTGTTGGATGTACTTGTATCTGTATTGTCTCCTGCTTTACTGAATTCATTCATATGTACATGTATACAGGTACAGGTAACTAAATTATTCATACCAAGTTTTGTACTTATTTAAGTACTTGTGTGTGGAAAATAGATTTATCCCGATTCCTTTTTCTTGAGAATATGACATACATGTATTCAACAATAGCCCTAATTCAACCAGTCCACCTTTCATTTTTTAGTAAAAAAAAAAAAAAAAACGACATAAAAATTACAAGGGGTATGAATAATTTAGTTAACTGTATGTGGCATAGAAGCTTGACACATTGTGATCAACATATTAACTTATTACATGTATCAATTACAAATGCAAAACTTCTGTGACAAATTTGTTGCAGTTATTGTAATTTATTATTGACGACAACATGTAGATAACAACATGTATGAAACAGGGCCCATACAGTCTAGTATATTGACTTCAAAATATGAACTTAAAGGGGAAGTCCACCCTGAAATTAAGTTAGTTTTAATGGAGTAGAAAAATGAGAGAAACAAGTCAGTGAAAGTTTGAGCAAATTCCGATTAAAAATAAGGAAGTTAGGATTTTTGAAGTTGTGATCAATCAAACACAAATTGGCAACTCTATGACGTATCATGCGAGCTCAACTTCCATTTGCTCAGTACTAAAAAAATCTAAAATTTTCATTTTCCCTCAAGAAAAATTTCAACCATACATGCACCCTAAATATAATAATTGCAAATATGTTTCTATACTCCCCCTGCTAGGAACAAATATATATTCCGTCATCAATAACGAAGAAAACGTGATTTTATGCAATATTATGCACAAAGCAAATGAAGGAGAGCTCGTATAATAAGTCACAGAGTTGCCAATTTGTATTTGATTGATCACAACTTCAATAATTCATAACTTTCTTATTTTCATTCAGAATTTGCTCAAACTTTCACTCACCTGATTTTCTTATTATTCTGCCTCTATCGAAACAAACTTATTTTGGGGGTGGACTTTCCCTTTAACTTTCCTTATCAATCTTCATTTTGCATATTTTAGCTCTTTTCAAATTATTAAGTTTTCTTTCCCCTATCAGTTCTTATCACCATTTCTTCTCTCCAAAATATAAAGTTTTGTCTCTCTTCTTGTTCTTTTCACTCTCCTATCTTATAACTCTCTCAAAAATTATACAAACTTTTCTTTCCACTTCTATTTCTTCTCTCTCTAAAATATGTAATTATCATTTTCAGCTTTTATTACTTTCTTCTCTCTTCATATATGAAAGTTTCTCGTATCATAAAGTTATGATTGATCTTTGTTCTCTCTCTTCCTCTTAAAGTTCGTTCAACTCTTTTCTATTATTTTGAACTTTTTCTTGTACCGGTACGGGTAGCTCCAGAATAAGCTTTATCAGCTTTTATCACCTTTTCTTCTCTCTTTATATATGAAAGTTTCTCACATCGTAAAGTTATTGTCCTCTTTGTTCTCTCTCTTCCTCTTCTATTTTTTTCAAATCTTTCTTGTACAGGTACTGGTAGCTCCAAAAAAAAAACACTTTTATTAAGCCATTGATATCTGAATTCTCTCATTGCTATAGGCTAAATACAGCAATCATCGGTTCCATAAGCAATTAGTTACAATTGTCATTTCTTCTTTCTCCTCTCTTCAAAATCTCATTACACCTAAAGCAGGAAAAATAGAAAGGTAACATTTAAATATCTATCCTTTATTTTGCCTTGAATAAATCATGACATAGAGGGTGTATAACACTGTTCAAACTTCTCATATGTACAATACATCGTGCAAGAATATCACAAAATGTTATATAGCAATTTTGTAAAAACCTGTCAAATGCCATTCCACATTGAATAATTAACTCACCGACTACCGAATCACCTCACTCCCATAAACTGAGTACAGTAACCATACAATTTCTGTAGCCAGGAGGTTAAAACACTGCCTTGGGGTATACTAGGTACAGTTATTCAAGTTAACCAATTGACTCCTGATTTCTGTCATTCCCACAAGCTCAACACAGTAATCGTCTGTTTTGCGTAGACATCATGTTAAGTAGCGGACAAACGCTTTCAACGATGCAACTTAAACATTTAAAGCTTATCTGCCGTAGTTTACAGGAGAGATTAGACTGCCCCGCAAGGTCACTGGACAGGTGGTTATCTCATCAACTCAGCTCTCAGTTAACATAAGAAAAAGAGGATCATGGGGGACCAATGGTCACCGATTAGGCATTGTTTGTTATATAGAGGGCGCAAGTAGCTACAAGTAGTGCAGTGGGCCTTTAAATTGATGGATGTACAAGCTTTTCCTACAGAGGGTTTATCTTTTCCTTTTGAAGGTGTGTGGAGAATTTGACATAAATCAGAATCCCATTTAACTGTTTACACTGAAGAAAATTCCATGAATCATTTACAGTTTTTACTTTTTAACCGATCCTTATTCAATGATATTACAGAGTTATGTGATGCTCTATTGCCATTCCACTCTTAAATTGGATTTTAAGTTTAGATAAAATGTAAACATAAATTTTGATACTTTGGGTTGAAAATGACCAGTGGATGAACTAACTCCAGGTAAACTCTGCATGCATTTGTGTAACAATGCTTGTAACAGAAATATGTGTTTCTTAAAATTCAATTGTCACTTTACATTCACTCAAAATCTTTCATGCATTCCATTGTTTTCCAAGATTTTAGAATTAGAATAAATGCCTTATCAATGATACAATTTATTAGACTATCCGAGTTTCACTCATGAGCCATAAAACATATTTCACTTTTCTTTCCTTATTCAACAAATTGTGTATTCTTGCATAAAGACCTAATTAACCGCCGTCATTATTTGGCTATGACCGGGCCCTCGACCTCGTCGATTCCAAGGTCAAAGTATCTATCAGAGCGATGTCTTCGGAGGCCCCTGATGGCAGCATACTCGACAGTGGTCGGCGTGACGTTGAGATCCTCCAGTCCGGGCATACCACTCTGGACGACATCGGTCGTATGTTGCTGAGAGGAGAAAAATGGGATGATTGTTATTTTAAGATTGGAGTTCAGAAAGCAAGTGTGACACAGATTCGCAACTACCATGGAGGATAATTCTCCAGCTGTCATCTCTTCTCCCAAAAAGTAGAATCAACAAGAAAAGACAGCACTGTAACGCCAGACACTTTGCATGCATGAAATGTTGTAAACTTTGCAAGTGGTTACGTTTTCCATAATTTTCATAACCCCAAATTTCTGAATCACAACCGACAAACAAATGGATTCTTACAATCCACAAAAGTTTGCTACAGTGAGAATCACTGTCATTTTAATAGAAGTCGTGAAAGGTTAATAACTTCCAAAAATTTCTGTTTTTACAGTACAGTCAAACCTGCTTTAGTGACCACCTGTCTACAACAAGCTCATTTTTTGTTTCCCTTGGAAATGGTTTCTCATTGAAACATGTACTAAAGGAACCTGTCAAGAAAGACCACCTGTCTCCAAAGACCACTATTTGTGTTTCCCTTGGGCGGTCGCTATAGACAGGTTTGACTGTATCAGTAAACCAACCAATCACCTACCAGTTCCAGCATGTCTCGGGTGAGGAAGGGGTCAAAGGGCGTGAGTTCAAACCCGCTTGCGATGAGACGCAGGATGGGGCGGGGTACAGGGTACCTGATGTAGGGTCGGCGGGTCACACGGTAGATGAAGTCCACCAGGTCGGTCAGGAGGTAACCATTAGGTCTGCAGGGAAATACAAAGAGGTTTCGCTGGTAAAGGCACTGTTTAACAATGTTACATTTGAGAGGCATGGCCCTACATGTTATCAGTATCTGTGATATGGTGTAATATTGAAGTACTAAAAAAATTGTGCTTCAAAATGATCCCGAAGTGCCTCAAAAAAGTTAAAAATCTTTCAGTGACTGGTTTTACCATACTCATTTTCCCCAATAGACTGTAGTGTTAAAAAAAATGTTTTAAAAAAAATTTAAATTTTGATTTCCAATCATAAATATCTTGATGATCAAGTAGGCGATCGGCTTGTAAAAGTCATGGGGTTCCTGACTGACCTAATTGGCTTAAGATTTATAATATCATTGCAGCATGAGCTGAATCAAGGATTTTGTTTCAGAATCTGAGACAAAGTTACCCAATCCCTTTAAAATAATGCATAGTATGTCCTTGATACAAACACTAATATCAAAGAAGATTGTTGAGCACCTAGGTGGAAAGTATCTAGTCTAGGGCAGTGAACAGACGTTATCTGGTGATCTATTCAGATATTTACATTAAAATTCACTGGAAATCATGAATAGAATAACAAACGATCTTGCACATCTCTCTTTTGATACATGGAGTACATTACGAGACTAATGCCAAAAATGTAAATGAGCTGTACAGCTAGATAATAATACTCCGTTCTTGTATAGAGCATATCACATTATTACGTCCCAATGCGCTTCCAAAGAGGTTTGGAAATTATTACCATAGCTTTAGCTCTAGCAGCCATTATCAGCCCAGTGCATTTTCAAGGGATAATCCTACCAGGTACCCATTTACCTCACCTGGGTGGAGTGTGGCAAATGTAGATTAAAACGTCTTGCCAAAGGATGTACATTCAATTTCATGGACTTCAAATAAGATGGTAACGTACTCACCCAGCCAGTTCATATGTCTTGCCGTCTGCCTCTTTCTCATTAATGATAGACATGATGGCTTGGGCTACATCAGAAACCTGAAATAGTTTAAATAAAATTATTAAAAAAATTATAATGTCATTTTGTTGATTCAAAATACTACTTCTGATGAACATGTTAACCAAATCATACTGGGCAAATTCTTCTTATTGATAGTAGACGTAACGGCTTGTGTTACATCAGTAACCTGAATTGGTTTACATACAAAATATTTGATAAAATGTTACATTGTTAATTCATGGTTATTATGATATATTGTAAAGTGCATTTAAAGTTCAGCTATCACCTGAACCAAAAAAAAAAGAAGAGAACAGCTTAAATGCTTAAATGTATATAATCACTCTCAACCTCATATTCTATGAACTTCCAGATTTTAAAAGGAGGATTAAGAAAATTAAGAATAACATAAAGTCTCGCGCACATAACCAGAGTCAAATTTGGGTTCTGTGTGGGCCTCATTTCATGCAAAGGTGCGACTACTTGTCTACTCACGAGTCAATTTTTATGGTAATTGAGTGTGTATTTAAAGATGAAGTTGAGTTCTGGTCATGCGATTGCATTGTGAAGGAAACGGTGTGGAACCGACCAGAAAAGGTTGATCATCTAGCATATAAGAATTTGTGTGTATTGCAAGGTTCTGGAATCATCAAAATGATAAGAAATTTGGCCAAGTCTTGGTAAAATTACAAACACTTGCACAGAAAGATGTATATGGGACTACACGAACACGTGGCATAAAAAGCCGGCCCCCCGATTTTTACGATGTTACATGCATATTTAGAATATGAAGGCATTTGAAGAGCCATGTTTTTTCAGGGAACATGTCTTAACTGATGTTCTTCCATACTTGCATAATAAGAATGAGTAATATTCACAAATTATTTTTCACCTCTTCCCAGAACTCAACCTTCTCTTTAAGCCTGCAACATCTCTTCATACATGTAATATCCAAGGCTTAAAGGGATAGTTTAGTTCTGTTGCAGAGGGCGCTACACAAAATAATTTTTTTATGAGATAATCAAAAACTGAGTGTCAAATTCGAAAGAACATAATATTTAAATGACAAAATCATCTTTGTTTGATCAAAATCGGTTCAGAGACGGCTGAAATATAACGATTTCTAATACTTGCGTACCACCACAAATATTAGATATTTTGAAAAATTCGAAAAAAAACGTTGAAAAAAACCAAATAACGCCTTTTACGCCGTATTTCAGGGTCTAAAATTACCTTCATAGCAATTTTAGGTTCTAAAAGGGCATTATAAATGTCATAGATAAGAATAAGAGCAATAACCATGCACTTTAAAGGCATATGCGGTCTGAAAACAGAACTCAACTATCCCTTTAAATTTAGAATACAGCATAGTGACAAGAAAACCGTAACATACAGGGCCATGCCTTATAAAGAGTTGATAATTGTGATTAATATCAATCGCAGCTTTATACATGAGAAATAAGGGATTACAAACTTGCGATTGATTCAGATCAATTGCAACTCTTTATAAGACGGGTAATACATATATTTCGGTGATGGGTACACTAATTCACGTAATGCACTTTAAAGTGACTCGGTAACATTGTTAAAGGTTGATGAAAAAAATTGCTTAATTTTTGTATAAAATGTTACTTACTTTATTCCTTCTACTATACTAACCCTCTGACATGCAAAAAATCCTGAACAAATTCTCAAACCACAAAGATATCTATGGTTTTCTTTGAAGGCGTCGATGTGAGGCACCCTCTAACAGTGATTAACAGTAAATTCTCCCAACCATTTTTGAATTTTCCCAACCGTTTTTCCATGAGAAAAATACATAAAACAGGCTATAAAAATCTGTCAACACTTAACCCGTTCCTTCCGAAATTATTTAGCCTGATAGCCACCCCACAAACGAGATTAAAAATCGAAAACTCGACTCCTTCGCTGCCGTACAATACCGTGCGACTGTTCAGCGCGCGGAACAATGCGTGTGCGTTGAAGCGACCTAAAGCCTGGCCAGTCGCTTCGACGAGCAGGAACTTAGCGCATGCGCAGATCATTTGGCAATCTGCCGTGCTCTAAGTTCTTTCAGCTCTTCCGTACTGTAGGTTGTTTTTCTTCGTTATCTTTTTTTCCTCTTCTACCTACTTATTTTGTTCTTCTTTTTTCTCCTCCGTATCTATTTTTTTCCTTGTCACTCTTATCCCTCCTCCTTCTTCTTCTTCTTTTCCTTCTTCCTATACTCTTTTTTTTATTTTGATACTCGATTTTATGAGAAAATACACAGTATATAAAAAGTAAACTATTTCAATGTAAGTTTCTGTTGCATCAAATTTAATTGAAATAGTTTATCAGCCAAAATTGACTGTTATAATTTACGTCTGACAATATAATGTAGCGAAATTATGTAAACATGATCAAATGAAACTCAAGAAGAATCAAGAACGGGGGGGGGGGGAGAGGGGGAGGTGAAAGGAGAGCCAAAATAGCATACTAATAAATACAGTACAGACTATATAACGATGCGCCCAACTTTCTCTCTCTCTCTCTCTCTCTCACTCTATAAAAAACGTTCATTATACTTTATCTCTCTCATACTGTTTTCTGTTCCACGATTTCCGAAAGCACGTTTCGACATAATAAATAAGAATTGTTAAAAGTAATAGTTTGGATATAAAAACATCTCTTATGCAAAAAATAATATGACACAATCTTTTTTGACAGAACTAATATACGTCGGACGAAGGAAATAACTCCTTGGTCGGACATTATACTTTAGCGAATTTTGTTTAATTTTTTTAATTTGTTTTAAAGAACTAAAGAAAAATTCTGAATGGGGGGGGGGGGGGTTGATCAGATAGACAACTAGTATAATAATAAATACAGTACAGACTACGTCCAACGTTCTATCTCTCTCTCTCTATCTGTCAATGTTGTTCCGCCATTTGCTTGTATGCCGGCATCATTCCTTCTTTGAGATAAATTATGATAACATATCCATGATGATGAAAACATACATCTTAAATACTAGGGGAAAAAAATAGAGAACGAGCGGCTGATAATGTCAAAATGAATATCACTGTACACAAATTATAGAAAGTAAAAGTTTCGATTTTGAATGTAAGTCTCTGTTGCATCAAAATAAAATGAAACGTTCATTATATCGACGGAAATAATATACATCAGACATTATATTTTACCACAAAAGGGTCATCTAGAAGTAGGTGGATAACATTATAAGAGAAAGAAGAGAAAGAATGAAACTTTCTCTTTCAAAAACAGAAGAATAATGGAGAGGGAGACAAGGACACATACACAATAAATAAATATAAACAAGATAGGATTCTAGAGCGGAAGATGATATAGGGGAAACGAAATAGTTCGGAAGTATTGCCTAGAGAGCAAAATAATTATTCTGTTTTATTTACTAATGTAAAGCGCTTTGATCATGTTTTATGTAAAGGCGCTATATAATATCAATATGTATGAATATATTGGCAAATTTTGACAATTATAGTTTGTAAGTATGAATTGACAAAGTACGTACAAATACAAATGACACAGAAATGTCTGCAAGTATTTGGGACCTATATAGAATATGTGAAAAGAGCTTTATCTTTGTCTTTGGCCCATGATCCCACAACTTAGTTACGTAAGAGGAACAAAGAACGTTGACGGATGTAAAGGTTGTTGTCATGGTTATAAACCCCAACAATAGAAGAGCGGAAGTAAGGTAAGGGTATAATTGAATGACAATGACCTGGCTTACAGCATTGATGATCCTACATGTATAACCCTGGTTTTTTGTGCGTGTTTTGGGGGGAGTGGGGTCTTGTTGTTTTTGCAATCATTCAAAGATAATATCAATCATACAAGATAAAGGAATGAACAAGAATATATGATATGCTAAAATGTAACAGACAAAAAGATGATGATGAGAAATGATTGTTTCTATCTCTTTTTTTCTCTTTTTCACTCTCTTTATGTGTGTCTCTCTCTCTCTTTCCTCTCTCTATCTCTCTCTCTCTCTCTCTCTCTCAAACTCTCCACTTTCTCCCTCTCTCTACGTCTGTCTCTCTGTCTATCTGCCAATGTTGTTCCGCCATTTGCTTGTATGCCGGCACCATTCCTTCTTTGAGATTAATTATTATAACATAAAATTATCCCTGATGATGTACATTATTATACCTTATATTTATTATAGGGAGCGAAAAAGAAAACGAGCGGCTGATAATGTCAAAATGAGAAGAATATTACTGTACAATATTTATACAAAATAAAAACTTTGAATGTAAATCTCTGTGGCATCAAACTGATATAAACAAATTGTTATTATGCTATATTGACGGTACTATTATCCGTCGGACATTGTGCTCTAGCCAAAAGATATAAACAAACAAAAAAGAGAAAAACTAAAGAAAAAATCTGAGGTTTGTGGGGGGGGGGGGGGGGTAGTCGGTGAGAAAAATATCATAATAATAAATACAGAACAGATTACGTCAAACTTTCTATTTATTCTGCCCCCGCCCACCCTCCTCTCTCTCTCTCTCTCTCTCCCTCTCGCTGTCTCTCTCTCTCTCTCTATCTCTCTTTCTACGTTGTTTTCCATCTTCATCTTTCATGATGTTGTCTACTATTCCGCCATTTACTTGCATGCCGGCATCATCCTTTCCTTGAGATTAATTATTATAACATATCCCTGATGTTATACGTCAGACATTATACTTTAGTGAAAAGAAATAATCAAACAAAAAAAGAAACGTACACAAAAGAAAAACAATCAGAGCTGGGGGGGGGGGGGGGGATCGGAGATAACTTTCTATCTCCCCCTCTTTCTCAAATAATTTATATCTCCTCTCACATATACCTTAGTAAAGGGAACGCTATAGAGAGTGAGCGGCTGATAAAGTCGAAATGAGAAGAATATTACTGTCCAATACTTATAAAAGTAAAACTTTTGAATGTAAATCTATGTTACATCAAACTGCTATACAAAAATGTTTATTATGCTATATTGACGTTACTATACGTCAGACATCATACTTTAGCCAGGAAATATAAACAAACAAAAAGAGAGACAAACTAAATAATAAATCTGAGCTTTGAGGGGGGGGGGGGGGGGGGGGGTCGGTGATACAAAATGTCATAATGATAAATCCAGCATACACCTGATCAAAACTCGTTTTCGGAGACTAAATCGAGTACAACCTCGCGATCTTGCTTTAGACTTATAATACTGCTTGTTGTTGTTGACAATAGAGAGCTGACCTTTGGATTTTCCTTTCATGTGCAGTGAAGTGCATTGTTCCGCGCGTGCCGCGTGCCGTTATAGGCTTTGGCTTTGCGCTGCTCCCAATTGAAATACCAGCAGTATTGGTATTCTGTGCATGGAAGGTCTCAGCGAAAGTCAATATCTGTGGGACAGACATCGCGGAGCTCCAATACGCTGCTGTACGAATTTCATGTGAGAGAAAACTTGACATGCTTATGAAAAAGTACAAATATAATGAGTAATATTAAAGTTAACAAAACAGGAGTAATGGATAATGATAGCATATACTTTGGATAAACCCTCACATCCACTAGTTTAGTGAATTAATGGCAGGGAAAGGCAATTTTAGGCTTGTAAAGACGTCGTCTACCTGCCTATTATGGGAACCTGGTATACCAGGTTCCCGTCTGTGAGTAGGCTCCACGGGAGCCTGGTATACCAGGTTCCCGGAAGGAACGGGTTAACTGTCTGGAATGGAATGTAGAGCCATTTTATTGCTTTGTGACGATTTACATTCACCTAAAATGTAATTTAATTGTCCTTGTCTTGATGCTGAACAGGCTTTGACAAGTAGCAGAATAGAAGTAGAATAATATAGTTGGGAGAATTAAGGAATCGATCAGATCAGTTTTTCCCAATTTGTACCATGAATAATGATCCGTTTTCACTCAAATTTTCAGATTATCTTTAATTGTATATCTAGCATTGAAGTCACTACCTTAGCACCACTATCTCTCATCTGAACAATGTTACAAAGTCCCTTTAAAGATGTAAAATACCCTTTATGAATATCTTTATCATTATTCTTAACCTTTGAACTTGTTACGTAAAGCATCATAACTTACGTATACCGGTCGCTTGACAACTCTCCTGGCAGACGGGAACAAAGGAACACCGCCAAAGAACCTCTGGTCTATAATCAAACAAACAAAAACAAGCAATAACACTATATGTACATGTGCAATGATGAGCGAGATCAACATTTGGTTTAATATATCCTAGTACATGTTATGTACAAGGATGAAGAACAATGTCCGTGCTAGAAAACTTCTCCTAGCTTGAAAACGTGGTTTCTAACATGTGGAACTCTTATAAAGAAATAGAATAAAGAATTATTGTATTGCGAAAGAGGCGAGTACACTGGATAACAGCATAAAGAAACGTCATGTACAGAGAGTAGTTTTTAAGAGGTCAGTTCAAATGACAGCTGCCAATCATCAGTGCGTGCTACCAATAAGCTTGGTTTTAGTATGATAGGACAGTCAAACAAAAATGGGACCCTGATTCTATATTAAATTTATGTTCACAATAATGCCCATACATGTGTTTTGCTGTGATGTTTAGTGATAATACATTACATTCAGACTGGAAAAAAATTACTGTACAGCTATACATTTTTATTATGGTGAAACAACAATTTCTTGTAATATTAACTGGGGTTGAGGGGCTGGGTGGTTATCGGCTTCTTTTCATTCAAATCAAATCAATTCAATTCATATCTATTTCATTTCCAACAGAAAGATATACAAAGGTATTACATCAGACTTACTTGCAAAATGGTTGAAGAATCTATCTTCTCTTCCAAACATCTGAGCCGGCCTGACTATGACAGCCTCAGGAAACTCTTCCCTTACGACTCTCTCTCCTGCAGCCTAAAATAATACACACAGATCTAATTATTTAGGACGCTTTTGAGAGTTGTTATGTGCAAATTGCATCATAATTACATCAGATTTGAGTATTGGTTATTTGGTTTGTTTTATTACATAGATGAGTGTTCTTTACTTCAATAAGCTACTCCAACATACCATTATCATAGAAAAGGCGATTTTTTCAATTGCATTGATGAAATGATAGCAAGTTTTTTCTTTTTGGGGTGATTTTTTCACAAGCTATTTACAGTGGATTGCAAGCTCATTGTTTCGCATGTTGATAACTTCACAACCCTACCACAAGAAGCTACTTCAGAGATACCATCTGCACATTGGCAGATAAAGGCAATTTTTTCAAAACTTGCTGGATACATGTTGATGAGATCTTTGTAATAATTTGTATTAATGTATCAAACAAAAGGTAAAGCGCCTCCACCCACTTTGGCAGTGATTATTCTAAAAATGAACAAAGTGAGACTTCTCCATGTTTAAATGATTTTCAGATATTTAGAGGTTTATTGTACATGTGCTATCTCCGAAGTCTTCTGTTCACGTAAAACCCTCACAAAAATAATAATATTTAGTAAATACAAAACTGAGATTCATACTATGAGAAATGATTACCTTTGTTCTAAGGAATTTGGCTGGAGAGGCCATATCAGCGCCCAAGGCTGACACATGAATTAGTCTTGGTACACCAGCCTCTTTGCAGATCTTGGCCAGGTTACGAGGGGCCTCGATGTTGATGTCTTCAAATGTAAAGTGCCTGAAAAGAAAGAGAGGAAAAGAGAGTGTTAAGTACATGTATGTGAGCGCGTGAGAGAGGGAAGGAGAATGTGACAAAAAAGTAACCCTGTAAGTTGGAGCTATGATCAGATCATATGATCGAATCGGTGGTTTGGCTCCCGTTATCTCTGTCTCCAAAAATTGCAAAAATTTGACAATTTTGAGCACTCTAATACCTAAAGTCACTCATACTTTAGATAATTCTCTCATTTGAAGTTGTTTTAGTTCATGTTTAAAGCTATTTTCATGGCGTTAAATGTCAAAAATTGAATAATGATCGGAAAAACAAAGGAGAAAGCTAAATTTTTGGGCTAACAAAAAAAACAAGGGAAACGCTCTCGGCGGTCTCGCCTGCATAACGCAATTCAATATAATAAACCAGAACGTCAATGACGTAGCGCTCATCCGCATCTCACAACAACAAATATCGTAAATTTTATGTGGTACACTTTTGAACTGGTCAAAAAATAGAAATTTGATGCCCTGGAAGGGACATAATTTCATTTTATTTGCATAAAGTACCATAAATAATCAATGGAGCAAAATCTCACAATTCTGTGTAGAAGTTTATTGTTGCAAATTTAGCTCTACCAGATAAGGCAAAATCGGTCAAGAAATGAGGGAAAAGAAGCAATTTTTGTTATTTTTGGAATAAATTTGCATAAATTACCATAATTAATTAATGGAGAACAATTTCAAAATTCTGTGTAGAAGTTTAGTGTACCAAAGTTAGCTCTACGATATAAAGCAAACCAAATCAAAATCGGTCGAGAAATGAAGGAGAAGAAGCCTTTTTTGTGATTTCGAATAAATTTGCATAAATTAGCATAGATAATGAATTTCACGATTCTGTGTAGAAATTTTAAATCCCCTCCTAGCCCTATCATATGAAACAATCAGAATCAAAATCGGTTGAAAAATAACGAAGAAGAAGCATTTTGAAAATCTTAATGTTGATGCCACAACAAAGTCTAAGTTTGTTGACCTTAAATGGCCTTTGACCTTAACTTAGTGACCTGAAATTCTACTCACAGGATTGGGGAGACTCGATAAACCTATAGTCCAAGTTTCATTGACTAAGAACTTATACTTTCAAAATTATATCAAAAATTCAAAAACTTAACCTTAGGTTAAGTTTTCGATGATGATGCTACAACATAGTCCAAGTCTGTTGACCTGAAATGACCTTTGACCTTGACTTTGTGATCTGAAATTCTACTCACATGATTGGGGATACTTGATTACCCTATAGTCAAAGTTTCATTGACTAAAAACTTATACTTTAAAAATTATACCAAAAATTCAAAAACTTAACCTTAGGTTAAGTTTTTGATGTTGACGCCGTCGCCGTCGCCGCCGCCGTCACCGGAAAAGCAGCGCCTATGTCTCGCTTTTTGCTACGCAGGCGAGACAAAAACATGCATAGCTGGAATTATTTTGCCATTTGGAGTTGTTGTAGACCATGTTTGTTGATATTACATGCCTTTTAATGACTCTGAAATTAATTATATTAGTCTTAGAGCTGAGGCTAAACATGAGAGCCACCATCTTGGATTATCATGACAATGGAGACAAAAATGCGTGCCTACATTATAATCCAAAAGAGGACATACCTCGTCTCGTAGTCTTTACTCAGTAGATTGACAACCACAGTGCAGTTTCCAACGATGTCTCTGATCAAATCATGTTGACGAAGATTGTATTGCTAGCAAAATAAAATCATACATGGAAAGTTTCAGTGCACGCTTGTGATTGTAAATGTTTACTCAAATTGTTATTCAATTATTTCACCACATTACACTTCCCCAAGTAATTGGTGTAGTGTCAATTGTGATTCAATTATTTTCCAGCATGATACTTTAACAAAACTGAAACACTATCAGAACTGTCATTTCAAAAACAAAAGATAAGAGACGAAATGGTCAAATTTTGCGTAATTAGGCTATAACTGACAATTAGCCATTTTCAAGGCGATACAATTTTGTAATTTTTTTAATTGATGAATCACTTTTCTTTTCAAGAAATCTGTTTGCTGTATGGATTTCTACATGCCTTTTTTTTTCAGGTTCTTTTGACAAATTTTTTTTTTTGTGGAATTTTTCAAATAATTATATGAAGCCCATTTTGATGCGTGTGACAAATGGCTATTTTTGCGTCGCCGGAACAAGTTTCATGGGTTTTGAAACATGGCTAGATTTAAGAGTGTCTATCAAGAGGGGCTGTAAAAAATTGTGTAAAAATGTGTAGAACAGGTGTCACATGCATATTCACCTGTTCTACACATTTTTACATAATAGCAGTGAAGGGATGTTCTACCTGAGGAATTGTATATTTTGTCTGCTTTCTTTGTCTGTCATGTTCATAGTGTCAGGGTACAGCTGTATTCATCATATTTGCGCTCAAGCACCATCTCGCGGTCATTTTTATTATTTACATGATCGTATTCTCCAGTAAATTCTCTTTCTTCTCGTATCAAAATTGAATTTAAAGTATGTTTTGCTGATATAGAAAAATTGTTTCAAACTTTTTACTCTGATTTTTCACGATCTTTTTAAAACATACCCCCATCATTTTTTATATGAAAATAAAGCTTAAGATGTGCTCTTTCCAACCAGTGGATTTTTAAAACTCAAAGACAAATGGTGTTCAATTCACTATTCATCTGGGCACTCAACAAGCACAAGTACGGTTATAATGCCCCAACGGCGGTCTGTACTTAACCGGAAGAAGAAGAAGAAGAAGAAGAAAAAGGGGATCATGGGGAACCAACACGCACCGATTAGGCATTGTTTGCTATATAGAGGGCGCAAGTTGCTATAAGTAGTACAGTGGGGCTATAAGTAGTGCAGTGGGGCTTTAACGAAGTCAACTATCCCTTTAAATGACATGTTTGATTGCTCACCCTGAACATGATCTGGCCCAGGTCTCCCATCAGCTTCATGGGTTGCACATAGTATTCATCGCATCGATGGGGTACGACAACCTGAGAACCCTCTCGACCTGTAACCAGACATGGAAATCAGTCAGGATTCATTCTTAAAAATAAGATCCAACTGAAAACATCAAAATACTGTTCTCTTACTAACAAAAATGTTAGGGTAATTTGACCCCCCCCCCTCTCCCTGTAACAAAACATGACAACTGACACAACAAATACATCATCTAGATTCATTTTGTTATACTTATGAAAGTAAAGATCAAACTGACAATATTGAAATACTGTTCGAGATCTTACTTACTACAACGTTAGTGCAATTTGACAGTTGATACTGACACACTACCCTTTATGTATTTTTGTTCATGATTTTGACCATTCTAAAGATTTGTTCTGCATTGTTTTTGCTTTATTTCATATAAGAATAGCTATCAAATATTTTATAGCAGAACTCGGGGGAACACAAAAGATGGCAGGGACAAGAAGATTCTTTGGAAGAGTTATTTCTACCAGAAAATTCAATGCACCTTTAAGAACTTAATGTTTTGTGAAACTCACCGAGCCTATTGACGATATACTTTCCGAGGAAGCCATTGCCCCCAAAGACGGCTGCTACTATACCGCTGAAGGAGGACCTGCCTCCCCTACCCTTGGGCACGAGGGAGTGATGATAGGTCGCTTTGGATCGATGGGGCTGCAGACATACCACTGTACTTGCACTGCTCCGGATCACCAGGGTCGGAACTGTGAAGAGATAACGTACATTTTGAAGCTAGAATCACAACGTTCTCACTTGTCGTCCCATTTTTACTTTTTTTCTTCTTTGTATTGCTTTTTTTTCTTGTTAATCTTTCCTTATGTACCTGTTCTCTCTTCTGAATTGTTTTCCTTGCAATTGTTCTTTATCTCCACACAAGTAGTGCTAAAATAAGCACTGATTATTTTATTTAATGTATATATATTTGTTTATGTTGAGGAGAGCACAGAACTCTTCCCTTTTTTCAATTGTTTACGATATGTTTAGTAAAATGTGTCACTTAAAGATAACCCTCGTGTAATCATGCTTTTGTAAATATGTTAATTCAGATACCCTAATTTATATAAACCTATGAACTGGGACATACATAACACAAACTTTGCTTTTTAGTAGATCCCCCACTTTATTGATTGATTTATATGATTGTATTCTCTGTTATAACTTTTATCATGTACATTATGTTTTCTATACTGTATGTTTAGTTATAATAATTACCATTGTACATTATGTTTAATTATGTTATCTTTGATAAATAAACTTGAAACTTGAAACATGAATCACAGATCAAAACGCCATTAAAAGACACGGTTACTACGAGAGAGCGTTCAAGCAATTTTTCATCTATTTTTCATCTTGCTCATTTCAAGCCCAGCCACAGCTCATTACACTGCGCAGTTTGACGATCCGCGCACTGGCGATGCAGTAAATGGATTCCGCATAATAAAATACCCCTAGTTCACCATCTACTTTTATGGGTTGTTCATCTTTCCGACGATTTATCGCTCATAATAGGGTGTCTGAACGATTTTTCAATTTTCAATTTGGGATCGTTTTTCACCATTTTTGTTTGATATTTGAATTAAAAATGTAATCAGAATAATACATTTCAAATTTCAAGTCTCGCCGATGTTTCTATCAAAAGATACAGCCCCTTCAAAACGCTGAAATATTCATAGCATTTTGCTCAGAATCGACGAAAAAGACGTACACGCAGAGTTATGTTGTTTTGCTAAATTTAGCCAAACAGCTGTATCGCGTGATATGCAAGCGTATGCATATCGTACGCAAGTTGCTCAGCCAATGCGCGACTTGCAAGCTTGAGCCACGCTGTCTCCGCGATATGTGCCATTGACTAGTATGGGTGGCCGTTCCCGCCATAGAACCCGGAAGTGAATACACGTTGTAGTCAATGGCAATATCGCGGAGACAACGCACGTTGTCTCCGCGATATTGCCATTGACTACAACGTGTATTCACTTCCGGGTTCTATGGCGAGAATCGGCCACCCATACTTTCATTCACTATAAGCGCACATGTTACGATGTAACCATGGTTTGGACTGAGCGGAGCTCACGCCTCCCTAATTAGCTGATTCCAAAAATGTGGGAAGGGTATTTTCAAACTGTTATAACAAATGATCCCTTGGGGCTAGCGAAAAAAAAAGCATCTGGATATTATCCTTACGTCTAGCCCTGCTTAAGCCGCGGGGGCGCAGCTCAGGAAAGTGGCAAATTTTGGAGCTAGGATGCAAACAACATTTCAATCGCTGTTTTGACCAAGATATTTTTAGAATTCTGGGGGTGGCCCCCTATGGGGAATATGGAGAAAAACCTGCTCTTTCATATGACACCTCATTTATTGAGTTTCACCTTCAGGATCATTTGTTATAAAGGTTTGAATTTCAAATTTTTTCATAAAATCATTGACCAATTTTGGATGGTCGCGCAATGCACGTAGACCACATAGGGAAGCGTACAATCTCTATGGGAAGGGTTTTAGCACATAAATTGGGTGCGCGATCAGACACCCTACTCATAATATGAAAGTCTCTGTACGAGGTCAATGTAAAATGCATCAATAAAATCAATGAGGGATCCGTTTTTTGCATCGCCAATGCGCGGATCAGAAATCAAAATCATCAACGGAAAATGTGGAGGCATCTGTCCACGTTTACGAAGATGACCCTCGTTTGTGTGGACGATCCTTATTCTTGGACCACTGATTATGGAGTGGGAATGAGAAAATTGTGTGAACTGCGATTAAATTAACTAAGTAGAAAAGCATGCCCGGCACGGAGGCAGTGCAAAACTAGTTGGATGGCTGCAATTGCAAACCACAAGTCACTAAGAAAAGAGGCTACATTTACTGTAGATCTACAGCATATTATTAGGGTGTCTGATCGCGCACCCGATGTTGTGTGCTAAAATTCTTCCCATAGAGATTACACGCATCCCTATGCAGCCTACGTGCATTGCGCGACCATGCAAAAAAAGTCAATTTTTTTTTTCAAATCGAGATTCAAACCTTTATCTGTTGTGATCCTGAAGGTGAAAATCAATGAATGAGGTGTCATATGAAAGAGCAGGTGAATTCCAATATTTCCAAAGGGGCGTAGCCCCGAAATTCTAAAAATATCTTGGTCAAAACAGCAATTTAAACATTGTGTCCTGGCTAACTCTGAGGTTTGTCACTTTTGAGATATGACGCCCCGATCGATAAGTAGTCCCAGTCCCAAGGAACAATTCTATGTGATTATATTTTCGCTAGCCCCCAGGGATCACAACTGATAACAATTTAAAAATACCCTTCTCGCTATTTGGTGGATCAGCTAATTAGGGGGCGTGCGCTCCGCTCAGTCCAAACCATGGTTACATCGCGTAACATCTCCGCGCACGAACGAAACCCCAAATTCAATTACACATTATAGTGACTGAAATTATGGTTGGCAATTCCCTCGATAAACCCGGAAGTGAATACACGCTATAGTCAATGGCAATATCGCGGAGACAACGTGCGTTGTCTCCGCGATATTGCCATTGACTACAACGTGTATTCACTTCCGGGTTCTACAGCGGGAATTGCCAACCATACTAGTCAATGGCACATGTCGCGGAGACAGCGTAGCTCAAGCTGCAAGTCGCGGATTGGCTTAGCAGCATGCGTACGATTAGACCGAAAGCTTCAGTCTCTATACCGTCGGTTGTTCCACTGAGACTACGTCTGGCTCCACTAGACCTCCGGTTTTAGAGACTGAACGATCGCCTATGCCAGCCTATGTTGAAGATATCCGGCTAGATTTTAGCCGTTAGGCCCCTCCCACAAACATGAACAAACTTGCCACGGCCGTATTGTTATGCCCCAAAATCCCCCGAAATGTCATTTTACCTCGTGCATATCCAATTTTACATTAGGCCTAGGCTATAATACATCGGTTCCACTTACTAACTTGATTGAAATAATCCGTTTAATGGTCCCTTTTGTAGGAAATTATGGGTCAAAATCGACATCCATGTTGAAAATCTTGCAAGCCGTGTTAAACTCTCGCTGCCGTCAATCTCATCCCTTCTAGTCTACGCCGAAGGCAAAAATGATTATGAAGGAAAAACTGTGATAACGCCATTACGAACGTGTAGATGGCGCACAGTTTTTCCTTCATAATCATTTTGCCTTCGGCGTAGACTAGAAGGGATGAGATTGACGGCAGCGAGAGTTTAACACGGCTTGCAAGATTTTCAACATGGATGTCGATTTTGACCCATAATTTCCTTAAAAGGGACCATTAAACGGATTATTTCAATCAAGTTAGTAAGTGGAACGGATGTATTATAGTAGGGTGTCTGAACGATTTTTCAATTTTCAATTTGGGATCGTTTTTCACCATTTTTGTTTGATATTTGAATAAAAAATGTTATCAGAATAATACATTTCAAATTTCAAGTCTCACCGATGTTTCTATCAAAAGTTACAGCCCCTCCAACACGCTGGTATATTCATATCATTTTGGTCAAAATCGACGAAAAAGACGTCCACGCAGAGTGATGTTGTTTTGCTAAATTTAGCCAAACAGCTGTATCGCGCGATATGCAAGCGTATGCATATCGTACGCATGCTGCAAAGCCAATCCGCGACTTGCAGCTTGAGCTACGCTGTCTCCGCGACATGTGCGATTGACTAGTATGGTTGGCGTTCGTCGCACAATAAACCCGGAAGTGAATGCACGTTATAGTCAATGGCAATATCGCGGAGACGTCTCCGCGATATTGCCATTGACTATAACGTGTAATCACTTCCGGGTTTATCGAGGGGATTGCCAACCATAATTTCAGTCGCTATAATGTGTAATTGAATTTGGGGTTTCGTTCGTGCGCGGAGATGTTACGCGATGTAACCATGGTTTGGACTGAGCGGAGCGCACGCCTCCTAATTAGCTGATCCACCAAATAGCGAGAAGGGTATTTTTAAACTGTTATCAGTTGTGATCCCTGGGGGCTAGCGAAAATATAATCACATAGAATTGTTCCTTAGGACTGGGACTACTTATCGATCGGGGCATCATATCTCAAAAGTGACAAACCTCAGAGTTAGCCAGGACACAATGTTTAAATTGCTGTTTTGACCAAGATATTTTTAGAATTTCGGGGGCTACGCCCCTTTGGAAATATTGGAATTCACTGCTCTTTCATATGACACCTCATTCATTGATTATCACCTTCAGGATCACAACTGATAAAGGTTTGAATCTCGATTTGAAAAAAAAAAATTGACTTTTTTTGCATGGTCGCGCAATGCACGTAGGCTGCATAGGGATGCGTGTAATCTCTATGGGAAGAATTTTAGCACACAACATCGGGTGCGCGATCAGACACCCTAATTATAGCCTAGGCCTAATGTAAAATTGGATATGCACGAGGTAAAATGACATTTTGGGGGATTTTGGGGGCATAACAATACGGCCGTGGCAAGTTTGTTCATGTTTGTGGGAGGGGCCTAACGGCTAAAATCTAGCCGTGATATCTTCAACATAGGCTGGCATAGGCGATCGTTCTGTCTCTATAACCGGAGGTCTAGTGGAGCCAGACGTAGTCTCAGTGGAACAACCGACGGTATAGAGACTGAAGCTTTCGGTCTAGCGTACGATATGCATACGCTTGCATATCGCGCGATACAGCTGTTTGGCTAAATTTAGCAAAACAACATCACTCTGCGTGGACGTCTTTTTCGTCGATTTTGACCAAAATGATATGAATATACCAGCGTTTTGGAGGAGCTGTAACTTTTGATAGAAACATCGGTGAGACTTGAATTTGAAATGTATTATTCTGATAACGTTTTTTATTCAAATATCAAACAAAAATGGTGAAAAACGATCCCAAATTGAAAATTGAAAAATCGTTCAGACACCCTAATATTATGTCTGACATCATAACTTATCTTTTTGTCGAGATAATGACCGATTGACCCGTCCGCACGTTTGGACAGTCCACACATCACAAACCCACACACAAGCGCGTTTGCCCTTCTTGTGCTCCAGGGCTAGGCTGATTATGCGAGTATCGAAGCCTGGAGTTTCGGCTAAACCTGTTATCGAATTTACCATTCCGAATTCGTCAACTATCACTGGACTAGGGCCGCATTAAAAAAGCCCTTTATTTTCAGGCAACGCATTCAAAATTCCACCATAAGTTACTGTAGCCTTTGAATAATACTATACAAATCCATAACGATAAAAATGTGCTGAAATATAAGGAGTTAATCGAAATTTCAGGATACTTACGACCCAAGATCGAATTTTTCGTGGCCGCCAGAGCCGCCATCTTGAACCCAAATTGGCAACCTGAAAACCGGTTGAAAATTACAGTAAATACACAGATGGTAGTATAGAGCGTATTTATTTTATGTATTTTTCGCTATTTTCCCCTGCAACAAATTAACAAATGCATAGGTTCAAGTTAATTTACATTTTATTATAACAATAAATTTGACTAGATCTACTCATGCAAGATACAAGTATAGGCCCGGCGCCCCCCCCCCCCGCCCCTAATTTGTTTAAAAAGTATAAAATAGCATGATGTTAATAAACCGGTCTATTAATCATAATACCTCATAAAGAAAATACAAATAAAATATAAGAAGGTAACATTTATATACAATTCACATGCAGTAGCAGGACTCGCAGTGGCGAAGCGTCTTTTTGAGTAGAGGCCCCCCCCCCCCCCCCCCCCCCCCCCCCCCCCCCCCCCACTCAGGGGTCGGAATGACCGCATGCGTGTTGCCAAAATCTCCGGTAAAGGGGTACTTTTCGTGCGACAAATTCCGGCCCAAGAATTGTAAAAAAAGGGGGTGTTTTTCCTTTTTTTCTCTCATCTCTTTGGACTCCTGAGAAGTTATTCCGAATTTAGGGGGGTACATTGAACATTTTTCCTGATTAAGGGGGTCTCCAAGGCAGGAAAAGCCCGCGAAAAGTCCGTGAAAGGGGGGTTCGGAAATGTTGGCAGTCCTCAGATAGGGGGTGCTTTCAAAAAGAGGGAACGAGCATATGCGTACCCTAAATAACACTGAGTGGGGGGGGGGGGGCCGGGGTAGAGGGTACCAACAAAAAAGGGTCAATTTCTAGAAAAATGGGGCACCTTCAAAAGGAAGCCCTTTGGTAATCTATGTATATATTTTTTATCAAGTCAATATATTTACATGTTACAAAAATTATATTTGTCATTATTTTGAGGGATCCACATTTAACAAGCTCTGCTTTTCAGTGGATCCCTCCATCATTCCACAGGTTTATCTTTAAAAAAACTTTTAAAAAAAACAACATTATACTGGATAGTTATGTATACTGTTTATTTCATAACTTTAAACCATGTAAAAGGTATTATATTATTGGATGTTTTGAATTGTATATTATCTGATTTCTTGTCGAAATTTCTGTTTGGTTGGAGATAAAAAAATAAAACTGACTGAAGTAAACTTCAAAGTAAAAATAAATAAATTAAATTAGACATTGGTATCTAAACCCCTTGCATTATGATAACATCATCAGGAATGATTTTGATATTTGGTTTTCTCTTTACATGGTCCAACATACTGGTTAAGCACCATAAACGGTCGGGTGTGATGGTCTGAATATTCATTTGCAAGCGAGCGAAGCAAGCGAGCAAAAACTTATGATTTTTGAGGCCGTAGAGTGAAAAATTACAGCTAAAAAATTAAGCAGGGGAAAAACCCGGATGGGGTTTTGAGCTAAATAGTGCCGAGTATTTATTTAATAATACTGCATGACTGTGGCTGACATTAGTCTCTGAATTTTGCTTGCTTTTTGTTTCGCTAATTAAAAACTTGGAAATTAAGTAGGCCTATAAGAAGAAGAAGACAAAAGAAGAAGAAGGAAGAGGAGGAGGAGGAGGAGGAGGAGAAGAGGAGGAGGAGAAGAGGAGGAGGAGAAGAGGAGGAGGAGAAGAGGAGGAGGAGGAGGAGGAGGAGGAGGAGGAGGAGGAGGAGGAGAAGAGGAGGAGGAGAAGAGGAGGAGGAGGAGATGAGGCGCCAGAGGAGGAGAAAAAGTACACTGTTGGTCATTATGGTGGAATAATTATTTTTACCCCAGTTTCGGGAAGGATTTTAAAAAATTATTTATTTCTAATAGATCTAGATAATGGCATACATTCTCTGATTTTATTGAATATTAATTTGCGAGTGTTTGTTTTGCGTGACTGCTAAATCATATGTGTGCTACTATACTAATCAGCTAGGGAACCTACGTCCTTAAATCATAATTGACAGTAATGAGGATTAATGCCTCACAAAAGGGCACTAATATAGCTGATCGACACGATTTTTATCCTGGGGCCTCACAGTAACGAGGCCATTGCTTAGCCCCTGAATCATGACTGTACGCAGTGTTTGCTAGGGTACGCGGCCGCCCCCACAAATCCCCCAAAACGAAGAAAATGCAATAAATTGTCAAAAATTCATTGCATTTTCCCCCGGCCCCAAACAGGAAAAATTCCTCTGTGTGGCCATGCCTTGAACCATAATGCATGGCCCTACAGAGGAATTTTTCCTGTTGGGGGCCGGAGGAAAATGCAATGAATTTTGGACAATTTATTGCATTTTCTTCGTTTTGGGGGATTTGTGGAAGGGGCCGCGTACCCTAGCAAACACTGCGTACAGTCATGATTCAGGGGCTAAGCAATGGCCTCGTTACTGTGAGGCCCCAGGATAAAAATCGTGTCGATCAGCTATATATTAGTGCCCTTTTTGTGAGGCATTAATCCTCATTACTGTCAATTATGACTTAAGGACGGAGGTCCCTTAGCTGATTAGCATAGTAGCACACATAATGATTAAGCAGTCACGCAAAACATACACTCGCAAATTAATATTCAATAAAATCTGAGAATGTATGCCATTATCTAGATCTATTAGAAATAAATAATTTTTTAAAATCCTTCCCTAAACTGGGGTACAAATAAATATTCCACCATTATGACCAACAGTGTATAAGGAGGACTCGGAGGAGGAGGCGTTAACCCTGGGCTCTGGCAAACGAGTGCACGGCTGTATACCTAAATTAAATCCTTTACCCATCTACTATACCCCAGATCTCATCTTTCATATTTAAAGTTCATGAATTTCTTTCATTGAGCTTTTCCTCTATATTCTCATGCTAATAGACCATGACCCTTTAAGGTAAATTCTATGTGAGTATATAGCCTTCTAATCATCTTAAAACATTTCAATTTTCAAATCCGAATTTCCCCCCCTAAATTCAATTTCCTCATCCCAAGGAGGTGGGGGGGGGGGGGGAGTTGTTGTTGTTGATTTTATTTAAGGTAAAAATACACTTTCTGCCAACTGAAAGGCTCTTTTTCAGTAGCCCGCGTATATATACACAAATGAATTTGACAACAATATTACCATACACCGGATAAAATACAATACAAATTTCAAAAACACAAGGTATTACATAATTATAAATGAATAGTTAACTATTAGAGTTAGTATAGCCTAGCAAAATAAATAAAGAGATTACTCGGGATATACCAGTCAATAAGAGAAGAGTATTAGAAAAGGGCAACAAAAGAGAAAGTCATAGAAAGGTATAAGATAGAAATACAACATCGACAATACATAATAGTATTTGGTAAAAAGCATTACAATCATTAGCACTTTTAAAGAGAGAGAGAGGGAGAGAGAGAGAGAGAGAGAGAGAGAGAGGGAGAGAGAAAGAGAAAAGGGGGGGGGTAATAACAAGGGGAAAATCATACTAGGGCTATGTGCAAGTATCTTCTTCTTTCTTTCTTTTTCCTCTCTTCTTCCTCACCTCTCTCTCTCTCTCTCTCTCTCTCTCTCGAGTCTCCCTCGGCCCCGAGTCTCTCTTCATCCCCTTTCCCCTCTCTCTCTCCCTCTCATACTCTCACTATATCGCTTTCTCTCTTTGACTCTATCCTCTCTTTTTCTTCTTCATTCTATTCCTATTACCTTTCCTTTCCCATTCACCTCTCTTACGATTTCCTCTATATTTTCATGTTTCCTTTACTTTCTGTTGCGATTTTCAGTATAGGGAGGGAGTGAGGGAAAATAATAATGATTACAATGATAACGATAATTGAGCAACGACGTCATAGCGTGCTTAATGAATCAAAGAGTCAATAAGGCCTTGTCTATTTTTTCCTCGGAACTTTGATGAACTCCATTTTATTTTCAAAATATTATGAATCATGTTTCAATTTTTTTGGAAATGTAAGTGTTTTTCTTTTTCATTTTTGGAAATACGAACATGCGTCAGAATCACGAAGTTTTGGGTAAACTTTCATCTACAAATGGTTTCAGAATTATGCATGGACCTTCGAAGATTTAAGTGCGCCCCTACTACTACCAGTCGAAGACCAAAATGAAAAGAAGGGGGTTTCGTTTTTAATATTTTTTCCATGGGCATATATTAACTTCAATGCCCCTCCCCTCAAAAACAACAACAGCAACAAACACTACATGACACCTAACATAAGGTTGTCATATTTAGGTGCCTCTTTCTTACAACGATTAAAAAAAGTATCACATTTGGTGTCCTTTTTAATTCTAAACTTTCTGCCAGCGGGTGCATAGGCTATAGGGAGAGAGAAGAAGACAGCATACTAGTAGTTGATTTTTTTTTCTCGTTGGGGTACTTCCCCCCCCCCCTCCTTTCGTGACCCGCTACTTACACACACACACAATTAAAAGAAATCAATTTGTAAAAAAAGTATACAAAAAATATAAATTAAATTTAAATAAAATTTACTGGCTTGGTAATTTTTCTTTTTTCTTTTCGGTCAGACGCCATCTAGGGTTATCATTTCGATCAATGTGAATATATCGACGATATTATTATTACACTGTCAAAGTACCGCAGGTTCGTGAACTAACTAATTTGTTAGGCCGGAAAATGGCTCGGAAAGTCTTTTTATTTTGGCTTATATACATATGGCTGGATTGGTAAGTAAATTTTTTCATTTGGTAGGATTGTTTTTCATTGATGTGTGGGTTTAATGTTTAGAAATTTGACTAGAAAATGAAGAATATATATTTGGAAAGATGCTGGTATCTGTCACAGTGTTAACATCTGGTGAGACGAGAACGCAAGTCCAGCTGAGCTCGTTGACAGCTGAGCCAGACTCTCAGTCGCTTGGCCCGCTACCATCCCGGGCCCGGCAATGCTGCTCCGCTGTACAATGATTGTGTAGTAATGGGTGTGTGTGTGTGTGTGGCTAGATAAGTATCAAGTAGATTTAGTTCGTGTAAGCTTTTAATGAAAAGAAAAAAAAGTGTTATTTATGAGAACAAAATGCAATCATAATAGGGTCTGTCATGTCTATTCAGAAGTGGAGCAATGAAAGTTACATAATGATAAACAAACAGACACAAAATGATTAATGAACATGACGATTGACGTAGATCTACATGTACTACCTGTAGGCTGTACACTGGTACACATCGAAGGAATTAAGTTACAAAAAAGGTTCATAAAAAAATTTAGACATTAGCAAACATAACTAAGTTACATAAGACTTGACACTAACAGCTTACTCTTTCTTGTTAAGTATCCAGACAAGACATTTAATGCTTCGTCCTACAATTGTAAATAATTGTTTCCCTTCTCATTTTACTTTTTTTCAGATCACATAAGTTGTAGTTGGCAAGTCAACATCTGTACTGTATTCACAAGACAGGGGATTGTCATTAATTGTATGGTGCATGACTATTTTTTTCCCATCAATACTTCTGTGACAGTTCCACATCCCATCAAAATGACGTAAAGTAGACAGAAGAAGAAACATGCTCTTAGTGTAGGAGAAAAAATGTGCCAAAATTGTAAAGAGATTTTTTAAATACAGTATACCGTATGCCTTAATACCCCGGAAGAGGTCTTCTTTTACTTACTGGAACTGTGACAGACGAATCTAAAATGAACAAGAAAGAATATCTTTGCCCACGGCTGCTGGACTATATCCTGATAGTCGGGGCACGCCATCCCAATCACAACAATGATGTTGCACAAACACCCGAACTCCTGAAACGCTTTCCGCGGGAAGATCACCAAGACTTCCCTCTCCCGAAAGACGTAGTGTACTTTTGCCAACCGGAAGGCTGTTTGACGGTTGGCCAGAAGAGGTTCAGCATGAGGGAAAATACATCCTTTGTTTTCACACTCACGGAAAAGGACTCTGCGCGCATGAGGTACGGAATTTGCGTGAACTTCTACCGACCGTTCAAAGTCTCGGAACGCAAATCGAGCAGTTCGTTGGAGAAGCGGGAAAAGTCGCTCCTGAACACGCGGCAGCACTCGAGCAGTAGCAACGACACGTTGAACATCCCTGATGATAACACAGAAGTGCACAAGTCACCTAGAACTCGTAGGAGGCTCAAACAGGCAAAGAAGATCCGTAATAACTCTTTAACGTCTCTCTGTATTTTGAGTCACCACCCGTTTATTTCAACGTTTCGTGAATGTCTCTTTATCCTGAGGAAACTGATTGATTCATGTAATGAGAGGACGAGTAGTCGGAAGGTCGGAGGATCAAGATCATCACTCAGGTAAGCTTAAACTTCATTCGTGTACATCAATAATCTCTTTATACACTGTACAGTGTAAACATATATACATTTAAATCAATTTACAAGGCTTCAAGGTTTCTTAATTTTTCCACATAATATAACATAATCAAATGAATATGCAATATATACAATTCAATAACATAATATTAACCAAAGATACAACAAAAGATTAAATACAATTATTCAAATAAATCATTTAAGATTGGAACAGTGGTGAAACATACATGTAGAGGAGGAGTCTATTAAAAAAGCATGGCTTGTATTTTATAGACCCCTTGAGAATTTAAAAAAAAAAGTTACAAGTGCTCTGTAATATAATTAGAAAATATATGTATAAAATGCTTATGTAATCATACACAATGCACATTACAATGCAATTTAACAAATGTATATTCTATACATGTATCATATAAATCATGATGTATACTTATGTGTTTTATTGTCAAATACACATCTTGGGCCCTTGGTTACAGTTTCGAAAAGACTTGGTGCATAAGTCTGTAGTAATGTGTTGTTAGAAATTATATTTAACTAATTTTTTTTCCGATTTTGATAAAACTTTAACCTGTTTTGTTTGTTTAATTTGTTCTGTATTTATTCAATTCAAATTGCAAATGGGTCACCCTTTCCCAACAATCATTAAACATTTTGTGGTTTGGCTTAAACCTTTGGATCAGAGCCGTAATAAATATATTCCAGATGCATGATTAGAAAGGGTATTAATTTCTACAGTACATACACTGCATCCATTTTTTTCATGACCATATCACATTTGATCTAGGAATTAATAAAAGATAGAGAAGAAGCTTCAAAATTCTTAAATTGGCAGTGCGTTGAAGGTTCAAAACCATTGTATTCCAATAAAAGTTGATCATTTTTTTCAACTGATTATTTAAAGTTCCCATGAACATGTACTACAGGGAAAAAATTAATATTTATTTTTCGGGGGCTACTTTTCAAGCTAGCCTGCATGAAATTAACACTCTAAAAAAAAATTTTGCTTTGAACTCTATGCAAATTAACAGGGGCTCTTTTATGATTTTCGGGGGCTCTTTTGGGCATTTTGGGGGCTATTTCGCCCAAGCCCCCGTGTATTTTATTCACTGATGTACTATATTTGTTTTTCAGAGACATTACCTTTTATTACAACAATATAGAAATAAAAGGAAAATAATTTTGTTGCCAATTTGGTAAACAATATGTGATCAATCTAGCTGTATAAATAAATTCTGCCTGAAAGGGTGAGATTGAAATTGATTTGCTGCACTGGATATCATGTCATCTGATATTGCACTTTCTTCAACAAGTCATAAATTAATGCAATTTATCCAGATGACCACCAACCAACATTTTTTACATTATGAAATCATTCCAAAGAGAAAACTATTAATTCTGCTTGCAATCAGTCAACTTTGATCATCCATGGACAGGAGTGTAAATACTGAGATCATCTTAATTTCTATTATACACTGTACCAGATATGAAGTGGGTATTAGCACTTGAATTAGACAAAGTAATGAGGAAAATGAAACTTGTAAATGTTTTTTGTTTCATTTTTCTGTTTTCTTGATAATACATGAATTGACAAGGACCAAATAATGTTGAATTGCCCTGAGCTCGAGGTCATGTTCAAAATATGATACATGTAGGATGCACTGAAGGTTTACAAGAGATCTGTGTCTCTGACCATAGCATTTGACTCTAGGAATTGGTAAAAGAAAGAAAATAAGCTTCAAATTTCTTAAATTGGCAACATGTTGAAAGGTTCCAAACCAATGTACATACATGTATGTATTTCAATAAGAGTTCAATTGTTCAAAATAGGATAGGATGCACTGGAGGTTTACAAGAGAACTTTGTCTTTGTACATTTCCAGAGATTCCGTGTGGGGCGTGTTGACCGGTATCTGCGGCGACATCCCTCCTTTGGTGAAACACGACGTACGACAGATTGAGACCTGGATGCTCCGCCTCCTGAGCGCTCCCGTTCCGGTGCCAGGGAAGACCAGGGTAGAGATCGAGATCCTGGAGTCACAGCCCGCCCTGGTCTTTGCCCTCCCGGACCACACCCGTTTCTCCCTGGCGGACTTCCCCCTCCATCTTCCCCTGGAGCTCCTTGGTGTTGATACGTGTCTCAGTGTGATTACCCTCATCATGCTGGAGAATAAGGTTGGTACCCCTTCTCTACTTCTCATGAAACATTATAACACCTGTGATCAAAGTTATATTCTGAAGGAAAATATGGTTCCAGTCTTCATGAGGTACTTGATGATGATGATTATACATGTAATAGTGATGTTGATTATGATGAAGATGCTGATGATGATAATTCATTGTGATACGTGTCTCAGTTTGATTACCCTCATCATGTTGGAGAATAGGGTTGGTTGGTACCCCTTCTCATGATTTACACCTGTAATCACTGTAACGCTTTGAAAGAAAATATGGTTCCAGTCTTTATGGAGCGCTTGATGATTGTGATGATGGTATTGATGATTGTGATTGTAATGATGATGATAATAATGATGTTGATTATGATGAAAATGATGATAGTGATAATGATGATGATGATTATAATGATAATGTTGATTATGATGATGATGATGGTGATGATGATGATGATGATGATGATAATGATGATGATAATAATAATAATGTTGATTATGATGATGGTGATTGTAATGATGATGATAATGATGATGATGATCATAATGATGGTGATCATGATGATGATGATGGTGATGATGATGATAATGATGGTGATGATGATGATGTTGATGGTGATGATGATGATCATAATGATGGTGATGATTATGATGATAATGATGGTGATGATGATCATAATGATGGTGATGATGATGATCATAATGATGGTGATCATGATGATGATGATGGTGATGATGATGATGATCATAATGATGGTGATGATGATGATCATAATGATGGTGATCATGATGATGATGATGGTGATGATGATGATCATAATGATGGTGATGATGATGATCATAATGATGGTGATGATGATGATGGTGATGAATGATGATCATAATGATGGTGATGATGATGATGGTGATGAATGATGATGATGATGATCATAATGATGGTGATGATGATGATCATAATGATGGTGATCATGATGATGATGATGATGATGATGTTGATGGTGATGATGATGATCATAATGATGGTGATGATGATGGTATAATCATTTTTACATTATCATCATTGTCATCATGAAATGACCAAGATACAAATTGAGGCTCTAAATTATAAATAGAGGGTATGAATACACTTACCGGTACATAATCACGTATCTCATTGATGACAATTTATGATAAATTGAGTGGTGATCAAGATGTGATCTGCATTTTTACTGAATATTATGAGGGGAACTCAGTCCAATTTAAAACAACTACAACACCGACAATAGAAACATCAACACCAACAATCACAATTTAAGGTTTATAATGAATTTGGGAATGCCAGTAAAGCAGATTTAGTCTTACAAAATATACATGTACATGTACATTGTACATTTCACAGTTTACTTCCCCTTAGGTCAATTTCTACCATTACTTTAGTCAAATAATTGTTTTCCTGAACCTAAGAGTTTACATTATGTGGTACGTTTATACATCCAAATATAACGATAAGCCCAAACATATGTACTCAATCATAACCCAAGCCCTAGACATACAATGTACAATATGCACATGAATCCTTCACACATGTACATTAAAGCCTGAAACAATTGTCACTGACTTACTGGGGCGATTGTTTGATTACTCCAAATTCACCTGATACAAAACAAAAACAGTATGAGATAAGGTAAGAAATGGGAATGTTAAACATGAAAAGGCAAAAACACAATCTTTTATTTTCTTTTTTTATTGTGTGCACAGGCACCTGAAGGGACATGTTTTCTATTCTCCTTCCACCCACCCACACTCTATACGGGCCTCCATCATGTTTAATAATGGTTGCCCTCCCACACCGTATGAATATTTTATAACACTGCTTCACCACCATGGCAGTATGATCATGATGAAAAGATCTATCCACTCTGTCTCGGTGATAATGGATGTTTCAAGCCTATTGAAATGAACGATAATATTGAATTAGGCAATTTTTGTAGTGTAATGAAATTGAATGCACTAATTCTGTGAAGTTCCTTGTTACTTTCTTTCCTTCACCTGTAATGAATAATTGTATTTCAGTAGTCAGAATTCTGAATTGCATACATTAATTGTTGCTACACTTGTAGGTAGGACAAATGCTATGTATTTTTCTATTACTATGGATTTCCTACGTAACAACGCAATATGTATGTAATGTACATTTGTCATTTATCATTTTTGATTAAAAAACAATGATTTTGAATCCCACAACCTCTTGCCAATTTAAGGATTTTAGGGCTTACCGGTATTTTATTTCGCTACGGTTACGAATGAAATAAAGTGAGAGACCTGTACTGCACGTGCAGTCAATTCGTTCAGACGTTCACGCCATACATGCTAAAATTCCTGGCATCAAAAGTGATACATCATGAAACAATAATGGAAGGAATACATGTGTGCAGAAATGTATGCTCTTTCTACTCCTGCATGAAGCATATTTTTAGATCTCTGAATAAAAAGTTATTGAGCCAAAACGCAAAATGTGGAATGATTGTCGCAAAGGGCTGATATTTACATTGTACATTTAGAGCATGAAAATGTACAATGTATGACTTTCCTTATTATTGACACCATACATGTAAATGCAGCCTTCGTACATGTTACCAGAACACTGTATCCCAAGGAAGACTGTTCATTATTTAAATGGGATTTTTAATTGAAAGGCAAGCACCATTCTGTGCATCAGACCCTGTTTAATGAAGAGTTTAATTTCAAAAGGAACTAAATCCACTTTTGATGAAAATTGAGTTATTGATATCCGAACATTGTTCACTTCATAAGAACCTGTCTTTCAACAAAAGTATTTACCTAAATTGTGGGAGCAATTATGAAAACAAAAGTACACCTTCTAATTTCACTTTTCCATAAATGGTAAACAAATCCTTTTTTTTCTGAAGTTACCAAAATGGATTTAGCTCCTCTTGGAATTAAACTCTTCATACATGCCCCATAAGCGGCTCTTGCAGATCAGGATGTTACAAAAGAAGAAGAATGTTAATGGTTCACAGAGCTGAACGATTAAGTGGATTTGTGGTCGTGAAATCACATTGTACTGTAGTTCTATGAAGCAATAGACCGATTTACTTCCATATTCAAACCTTACAAATACCTTTTAAAGAAAGGTTGTCCTTGACAAAATACATGCAGACGGGATTCCAAGTATTGTACACAATACATGTACAGCAAACTTGTTCATTCATTATTATCAGGTCAATTGAAAAACTTGTCACTACATACTGTACATGTACCGTATACATGTTCATGTACATTGTGTAGGTACCCGGGAACATGTTTACTTGTATACAACAAGTATACATTTACATATGTACATATAAAAATGTACAATTTATCCATGTTTTGGACATGTACATGTACATGTACATTTGTGTATCTTTCGATACACGTAATGTATAGGATAATGGTACACATTGAAGGGAGAGCAATATTCATACTGATGAGGCTACCCTGGGCACGAGTTTACAAACGAAACTCTTAATTCTCATATTATTATTTATTACCTGTCTCTGAATTGATCATTAAGGCAATTTTTAAAAGAAATTTGGTTAGAATAATTAAAGTAACTGCTGTTGTCAGTGAATAGCGTCACCATTAGATTAAAAGTAGTCTGTAACTTTTGAAGAAGTCTGTACTAAAATAATATGCATTTGCCTCTAATTGGATTCTATTTTCTAATGGCTAATTTCAAACTATGTTAATATCCACATACTGTACATGTAGGTGTAGAAATTACAGTCATTCAAACAAATTCTCTTTGGATTTCCATGAGGTAATAAAGTGTCATCGTTTTGTTACTTTCGTAGCAATTTGGGGCCGTATTCTGAAAACCTTGTTATCTCTTTTGTTAATAATAATAATAATAATAAACACGTTACTTATACATGTAAAGCGTTTACCACCGAAGTCTCTAAGCGCTATCAGACACAAAATAGACTGATATACAATTACATCTTAAACAAAACAAAACTAAAACTAGACATATAATACTTGTTTGGAACAAGTATACATGTAGGTGGGCTGGTCAACTAACATTTGAGACAAAATAGAGCAAAAATAAGCGACATACTGCTTACAAATTCTTAAAAGACAATATCATGTAGATTCATAACGTGAACTAAATTCACCTTCTATAGGCATAACACGCAAATTATGAAGTTTTTTACATGAGGCCTTTAATCAAAATTTTCACTATGATGACGTCATCAAAATGAAAAATGGTTATTACTGCGCTTGTAGAGAATTGTCTTAGCTACAACATATCGAAATTTTGAAGAAAATTGATCAATATTTACAGAGATACAATCAATTTTACATAAATATGCTGACGTCATAATATGCAAATTCGTATTTTGAGTTCCAAGGCCATTGTGATGATGTCACGATACACTTAATGGCCGAATGAGACATGGAATCATATTTCCGACTCATACTTTATCTAAATATGAAAAAAAATTGAGGATCCCGGTGCATTCCAAAGAGCTATAACGGATTTTGTATAGGCATGTTTTTGCCCATATATGCTATGTATTAAAAGAGCTCGCGCGCACTGACATTTATCTTGAATTTACGCTCATCTTGTTAATAATGGTCATAAAGAGATAAACATGGTATCAAATTCCTTGAAAAAATATGAGAAATATCATGAAAGAAAAAAAAATGGCGATTCTATGTTTTGTAATGGTGTTACGCGCGAAAACGCACGCGCATGCTCGTACGCGCGATTTTTTATAAAATGCTTAAAATGACCTAAAACGTATGCAAAATAAAGTTGAGACGATTTTGAGCATTAAAAAATTTTGCGCGCGCACTGACGCGCGGATGTACGCGCACGCGCGCATTTTTTGACCTGAAATTGACTGGACTGATATTGACCTTGATCATGATAAATATGAATGAGAAATAACCTTTGGTTATGAAGATATGATCATGAGTTGATTTTCAGAAAATTTCACAAAATGGCGCCTAGATGACGTCATCAGTCAAGGTCAAGGTTGAAAACCTTACTGTGTTTTCTCCATATGCCTATACATATTTGTGCCAAATTTCAAGTTATTTGATTAAGCTTTTTCTAAGTTATCTTGCTAACAAAAAGTGGGTCGAAATAAGAAAAATAAATAAATAAATAAATAAAGGCGATTTTAACAAAAATATAAGGTGGTCTGTATTAGATACAGCCCACCTGAATACAAATAAACCTACAAATTACAATACATATATGAAATACACATCAAAGTGAACATAGTTAATTAATCATTGAACGCAATTTTGAATAAATGTGTCTTAAGACTAGTTTTGAATAGGTTAACGGTAAGTTTTTGACATTTAAAGGTAATCTGTTCTAAAGTTCAGCAGAAGCTTTGCGAAAAGAGCAATTACCATAAGAAAGAGTTGACACAGAAGTAGATACGAGGTTTAATTGTGAAGATGTAAGTTGTACAGCGTACATGTTAATTGTCATAATTCAACAAAGTGAAATTACATAGAACTAAACACTTTTACCACTGTCTGTACCATTAATGCAGGCACAGATGTTTCTTTTAAATTTACATTATGCGAACACAACCAACTATGCGCAGACAGTTATTAACTAATGACTTGTCCTAATAGACAATTTTTGTAATGTAAATGTAATCAAATTTAATGCATACCAGTAAATTTTTGTTATTAAAGTACTGTGTTACAGATTATTTCACACACCTTGTAGGTGGATGTACACTGTACATGAACATGTACAGTGTATGTTTAATAATAGACTGTGGTTCACATGGTTTTTGGTTCAAGTCCTGGTTGCGACACTAATGTCCTTTAAGAAGATATGAATCTACATTTGCCACTCTCCATCCAGGTGATGGAAGTGGGTACCCGGTAGGAAGAATTACAAGCTACTGTGTTAAGCTACTGAAATCGTGGCATCTGATTGGCTGAGAGCAAATTTGTCATAGAAATTTAGGAGTTGTTATAGATAACAAGTTTTATGAAACGGGCCCCTGAAGGGTAGCTTGGCTAATGCTGGGATGGGGATAACAATAGAAACATTGTATTTAGATATGTAAATGTTACTTTAACTATGTTACTATTTCCAGTTAACAACTAAATCATTCATACCCTTACCAAGTTTTGTAAGTTGTGAAAAATTGATTTGCCCATATTTATGTGTATTGATAATATGATACTGTACATGTATGTCATAGCTTACATCTAAAAGTACCGTATTCAACTAAGGCCCCAATTCAACCAGTCCACCTTTCATTCTTAAGTTATCAAAAGAAAATCCCCCAAAACATAAAATTTACAAGGGTATAAATAATTTAGTTTTTATTTTGTCATGTATTTCCATTTTTCATATGTTATCATTTTTTAATTTTTTTAACTGTTCTTTATCAGGTGGTACTTCAGTCACGAGACTACAACGCCCTGTCGATGAGCGTGATGGCGTTTGTGGCGATGATTTACCCTCTAGAGTACATGTTTCCAGTCATTCCTCTTCTACCTACTTGTATGGGATCGGCAGAGCAGGTAAGACAATTTGGATTTTGGAATTTGAATTTGTATTTGAGTTTCAGAATGTGAAATATATTTAAAAGAATTAATTTTTTTGTTTTGGAATTGTGAATTTTGGGCTTTCACATTGATATTTGAATGTTTGATTTTGAATTTTTTGGGTTTTGGAATTTTGAAACTTTGGACTTTCAATTTTGAACTTTGAATTTTGAATTTTGAACTTTTTAGTTTTCCTTATTTGAATTTTGAATTTTGAATTTCTGATTTCAAGTTGATTTCAAATTGTTTTTGTATAAAGAGTAGACTGCAATTTGGTGCAGTGCAGCAGTTTGAGACAACAGAAATTGGCATAATTTCGTTGGCCCATGTTATGGCCTGTTAGCATGAAAGTTATTAGATGAGCTGGTCATTTGATGCATATTATTACAGCAGATATTGGCATAATTTTGGTAGCCTCTTTTAGAGCCGGTACACGTCAGCACATCATGCTTGAAAGATAATACGTAATCGTAATAATAATAATAATAATAATAATAATACATAACATTTATTAGGCACTAAATACGGGTGTTTCTAAGCGCACTATTGTCTGACTTAAAATTACCAACTAAAACTTATAATAAACACAAAAAATATAATCTGTTCTTTATTCAATAAATCATGCTTATATAATAACACAAATAAAAATGAGACAAACATAAGGTCAAACATAAGGTCAAACATAAGATCAAAAACATTTATATTTTGTCCACAGTTATTGCTGGCACCTACACCGTATATTATTGGTGTGCCGGCTAGCTTCTTCCGCTACAAGCCTTCCTTCCAGCTCCCAGATGACATCTGGATGGTCGACTTGGACACAAACAAGGTAAGAAATTGCACCTATTTTCATCTGTATTTTATCCCCTGTAACAGAGCTGCCAACCAGTATGATTTAATCATATTTTGTACGACTTGTAGAAGCTAATACGACAGTACGCTTTTCCTCAATAAAATATGATTTCCAAAAAAAAGAAAAAAAAGAAAGTATTTTGAGTGTGTGTGTGCCATTTTCAATGACAAAATGCCCATTCTGTCCTGTAAAGTATCCTACAAGCATCTCACATCGGCAATTTTGGGATGTTTATTGGTTCATCGAACACACCAGTCATGACGAAATCAGGCATATTCAACCAATGATCCATACATACAATTCTTCCTGTATGTAGGAACTGTATTAAGAGGCACTGGTCCGTGTTTTTTGTAAATACAGCTTTTGTCAGTAAAATACAACTTTTGGGACTAAAGAATACAGTTTTTGAGGTTGGCAGGTCTGCTGTAACACCCCATTTTGCAATTCATTCTTTTGTAAACCAGGATTTATTGGTTGGTTGATTTGTTTGTAATGAATAGTTTTGAAGGAAAACCAAATTTTTAAATTTGATTGAGTATGCCTTTACTACTGTAGTCTGCAAGCAAACACTCTCTTTGACTCTTAAACACAAATCCATATAAAGCCTTGAGCCTAGCCTAACTCTGACATGTATCAGCTAAAGTACAGGGCCTATGGAGTGCAGTAGACTGTGTACATATAGTCTACATTCGTGTACATGTAGTCTTGCAGTTCAGACACCCTGATACTCATTGCGACTGCCACAGACTTATGCCTGCAAACTACATGTATGCATGTACTGCGATATATGCTCGTATGTGCATACATGTGCAATAGTGAGATTTGACTGAATTGGATTGATATCGCTTTGTGTATTGAAGACCCTGAGGAAGATATATTATCAATCATGCAAGACTGCTTTCTATCTCAATGATATATCAAGCTATCTTGTACAGAGGTCTATGATTAGCTAAATGAAATTGAATGTTTAGGGTGTTCAGTCCTATGAGGTACCGGAGCAATGTGGAAATGGAACGGTAAAGGGATTTTCTTGGTTGACAAGTAGATTGATTTTGGAGGGAGATGGGGATTGAGAGAGAGGGAGAGAGAGAGAGGGGGGGGGGGCGGAGAGAGATAAAGAGAGAGATAGAGAGAGAAAGAGAGAGATAAAGAGAGAGGAAAAGAGAAATCAAGGGGGAAGGGGGTACATGTTCATGCAGATTAAGAAGAGACAGAGAGCCGAAATTGGCTAAATCTTCTGTAAATACATGTAAATTAAATACAAATCAAGAGCAACATGGAGAGGATCTTGGTAAGATATCAACCTATTATGTAGAGAGGGCCTTGATTAGCTATTAATGTAATTGAATGTGTACCATGTTTAGTCCTATGAGGTAAGGTAGAGAGAAAGAGAGAGAGAGAGAGAGAGAGAGAGAGAAAAAGAGAGAAAGAAAGAGAAGTCGAAGAGAGAGAGAGAGAGGGGGGGGGGGGGGTACTTGTACATGCACATGTAGAAGTGTGCCATAAAACATGTTACCGGTAATCAAGAAATGAGAGAGATATTAATAGGAGATCAGGGCTGCCCTCTATCGTGATATAGGATATCGACCTTATCATGTACAGTGGTCTGTGATTAGCTAAATGAAATGAGAGAGAGAAAGACAGAGAGAAAGAAAGAGAGGGAGGGGGAGGAGGGGGGGGGGGGAGAGAGAGAGAAAGAGGGGTGGGGAGAGAGGGGGAGGTTGACGAGAAGAAAGGGAGACATTCATTGTATCACAGACATCTGAAAATGGTTTACTGAAAATTTGTACCTAACAAAAGAGTCGGACACATACGTGAACATGGACCTAGGGTAGCTGTTATTTTCTTCACGCTCTAAATTCTTGATTATTTTTTTGGGGGGATGTTTCAAAACTTCAACAACTTAGGTATTCTATTTACCGGTACTTCAATTTTGCAGGTCCTATTGTTTTTGAAAAGATTAATCGTAGTGCATTTATGCATTTACATATCCATAAATGTTTCTTCACCGTTATGCATAAAACGGGTGTACATGTACATTTACTTAATGTTTGTGGCTAATACTGAGATGCATGCAGCTTCCTCAAAACATTGGTAAATGCGTGTATGCTACCCAGTCTGTGTGTTATCTGTGCATGCATTTTTGCTGAATCTAGTGAGCTGCATTTTATGACGACATGTCGTCTAGTAAGAGCCTCGAGGACATGAATCCATTTTAATTAACTCAATTCTTTTATGAGGGGGAAATTACTTATACACTAGCAAGGTCCTTTGTATATTCATGGTCCTTATTACTCCTTAATAGGGATATATATTTAAAACCTTTATGGCCACCATCTGTCTTCCTCCATGCTTTTTAATGACTTACATAACAGTTCCTCATAAGGCCTGTTTTCATCAGCTCTAGATTGCCAAATAACCCTCTATTTTAACTATCCCGATTGTAAATTATCCAGATAATTTGCGTCTTCATCAGCCTGCAGTTGCAATTAGCGGGATATTTGGTTGAGATAATCATCCCAAGATATCTTGGGCTAGTTTGCAAAATATCCCGCTATTTGTCCGGTGCGTTCTCACTAGCCCGAAGACTCACACTATGCGCAAACGCTGAGCAAAATATCTTGAGCTTAATTTCTCGAGCTAGAGTTTCAAGTTTCGTGTTTCGAGTTCAAGTCTCGAGCTGATGAATACGCGATTTGTAACTTCGGGATTATTTCCCAAATCAGAAATAGTGAACTCTTTGGCAATCTTGAGCTGATGAAAACATACCTATCGATGCATCACAAATGGGAAGATGATCCCATGTGTAGCACACTTGATTGAGCCTCATATTTTATTACTTAAACAGTCAAGGACCTGGGTGTTTTTAAAGGGCATTGCATGGATTTCACTCTTTAGTTCAGTTCAGTCTTTATATCACTCTCTTTTTACAAGCAAAATGCTTGTGAAAATCTAAACAAAAAACATAGGATCGAAACTTTCCTAAAAATTTGTGGCAAAATATTTATTATTAGCAACATTACAGTCATTTACCTTTTCAAATCTGATTTCAGCAACTGCCAGTGTTTTTTTCACCCCATTTGTTGTTTCCAAAATTAGGGTTTAAATTTTTACTCATAGGGAGAAACCACAGTCTTTTTTTTGTTGAAATGTGGCACATGTTTTCATAAACTCTTTTGCTGCTACTGATAAATTTTGAGATAAGTATTTTTGAGGGATTGCAAGTCCCTGATAGGGGCTTTAAAGGGGGAATTAAAATGTCATCAAAGTGGCTCAGGCATAAACATAATTACAAAGCATCAGCATAAAAATAAATTCTAGGGCAATGCCAAAAGCCTAATTCATGGCCTATTTTTTTTAAAAGTTTGATCCAAACAAGATACAAAATCCAAACATTTAGGCAATGCAGTATGGCTGTTAAATTGATACCCATATAAGTATAAATTAATCAGCTTCTTTCTTTTAAAAATTGGCAACCTTAAGAAATAACCTTTCTACAAAAATATGAGCTACTCCCAAAATATGAATATAATCTACACAAACTTAATCAAAGATGTGGATGAATTAAACCTCACCAGGATATTGTCCAGAGTGTTTAGACTGAAGTAATAGGATACAGTGTACATGTAAGTAATGTTGTAATTTTTCTCTTTGTAAGAACTTCATTGTTTTCTATACACAAGCACAGGTATGCTTCTGTTTTACTCTTCATCCTTTGATGTTCTTGCTATATTTTATATAATGTACATGTGATATTGTATGCACATTGAACTGTCAACAGACATACATGTATATGAAATACTCCATTTGATTTTGAGACATACATGTAAACAAATTAATAATTCAATTCTCTTTAAAAATAAAAATCTCCTAAAGTTTTTGTTATTATGAAATCATTCTAGATTTTAGTCCCAAGTAGGCCTAAACTAAATACATGTACATGTACCTTGCTTTATACTTCTATAACAGAAAATTTAAAAGTAAATCTAAAAGTATTATTATTAGAATTGGCATTGGACTGTCAACAGACATGAAATGCGCTATAAAAATAAAAATTTCCTAAAGTTTTTGTTATTATGAAATCATTCTAGATTTTAGTGCCAAGTAAATTAAAAACCTTGTTTTATACTTCTACAACAACAAAAATCTAGAAATATGATTATTAAATTTCAATTGTAGAGTGACATCAGGATATTGTCCAGAATGTTTAGTCCCAAGTACATGTATATCAAATACTCTATTTGATTTTTAGAAATAAAATAAAAAATCATTCAAAACTTTTAAAAATAAATCTCCCAATGTTTTTTGTATTATTATGAAATCATTCTAGAGTTTAATCCCAAGTTAAAAAACATTAGTTTTACTTCTTCAACATATAATATAAGGTTTTTATTATTACAATTTTAATTTTAGAGTGAGGTTGAAATGAAAATTCTGTGACATTTTGATTTTCAGAAATAAAAAAAATATCATTCGAAGTTTTTTAAAATAAATCTCCCAATGATTTTGGTATTATAATGAAATCATTCCAGAGTTAAATCCCAAGATCAGTAAATACCTCACTTTATTCTTCGAAAACAGAACATCTCAAAGTATTATTATTATTATTATTATTAGAATTCTAATTGTAGAGTGAGGCTCAAATTAGAATGCTGTGACATTTTGCCTCATTATCTCCAGACAGCTGGATCTAAGGTAGATAGCGAATGATGCATTTGATAGGAGCTAGTGTGTGGGGGATTATGTGTGTGTGAGGTATTGCGTGGGTGAGGGATGGTGTGTGTGTGTGAGTGAGGGATTGTGTGTGTGTGTGTGAGTTAGGGATTGTGTGTTATGATAGTGTGTGGGTCATGTGTGGCGCCTGTGTGTGGTATAATGGATGTCATATCAAGCAGGTGGTTTTTCTGTAGGAGCATAGTAAGCAGTGTGTATGTGTATGAGGGATTGTGTGTGTGTGTGTGATACCATATTGCTCT